TTTACTCCTCACACGACGTGAAGGAAAGATATACGACTTTTGCGTGCAAGTTCCCGAAACTCGATGCCGAATCCCGCCCCAAGAACTTGATCACGATGCCGAGGATCTCTTTTATTCTCCTTCGTGGTACACCGACGGGAATGTATGATATCTCCCGCGAAAGCTGCAGGGAAAACACGCCGGTGGGAAATAAAATTCCGACGACGACTCGGTGTGAGTGAAGAAGCGTGGCGGTAAGCGTATAGTCGTCAGTTAAAGGGACCCTGCAACACTTTGATCACTGTCACAAAACGCTGCTGATCGGTAGTCGAGATCCCCGAGAACGCGCAAGCCAAATAATATAGCGCAGCACGCGGTCTGGCATTCGCAATAAATTCTCACATCTGCTAAAAATTGCTTTCTCTTCTTTCGACAAATGGCGATAAAAGCTCAAACATTACTAGTCACCGACTTTGGCTGATCTGAGCTAGGCGCGCTCGGTTGTTACTGGGACCGCCACGGGAGGCCGCGACTTGTCCACGCGTGTGATCGCACTGAGAAACCGCGTATTCGAGAAAGAGAGCGATAGAAAGTGCTCAAGGTCACGAGACACGCGTGACGTATTGTCTTTCCCCGTGACATCCCTCACTGTTTAGCTTCAGCGCATTCGTCGAGACGAGAGAAGAGAAAAATCAATTGCAGAGCGGGACACACTTCTGTAACTCCACTTGTACTGCACATTCAAAAAAAAAAAATGCGACGGTGAATTTGTGAGGCAATAGGCTTTTTTAGTGAATCCATTGCATCGCTATTTCAAGGAGCCCTGTAACACTTTTTCAAGTAACCATAAAATTAGCTCTCTGGAAGAGCTATTGCCTCACGGATTAAACCGCGCAAAAGTTTTAAAAATCTGTCCAGTGCGAGAGGAGTGACAAAGATTCGTCGCATGCTGCGATTGCATTTTCTCGTCTCAACGAAAGCGCTGGAAGCTAAGCAGGGAGGGATGGCAGACGCAAAGGAAAACGTCACGCGAGCCTCGTGACCTTGAGCACTTTTTTTTTCTTTTTTTTTTCTTCGAATGCGCAGCTTGTTTAGTGGGATCGTGCGCGCACGCGTGGACAAGTCACGGCTTCCCACGGCAGTCTCTGTAACGACCAAGTGCGTCCTGTTCGAATCAGCTAATGGCTAATAGATGGGCTTACTACGAGTGATTTTTGGGCTTATTTCGTGATTTGCCGAGAGAAGAGAAAGCAATTATCAGCTGATTTGATAATTTATTGTGAATCCCAGGCCACGTGCTGCGCTACAATATTTGGCTCGCGTGTTGTCGGGAGCCTCGAATACCGATCGGCAGCGCTTTCTGACCATGCTCAAAAAGTGTTGCAGGGCCCGCTGAAAAAAAAAGTGTTTCAGGGCCCCTTTAGTACGAATGCACCACAGCGTTTCTTGAAAAGGTTTGAGTGGCACCAGCGCCGCGTAACTTTGGCTTCTGTACCCACGATGTTAACCATGAATCACGACATACTGCTCATACCGGTGTTGTTATTTCGGGGACGGCGCCGAGCGCTTCCTGGCTGGCATCAGTCAGACCAGCCCAGGTGCAGGTGAAATAAACTTTATTTGGTCCTGAAGAACCCGATCAGACTCACTCCAAATGGGGGTCCACCGCAGTTGCTGGCCGCGCCCACGCCGGTACCAGATGTCCATGACACTCCATCCGTTCGCACGCCTGGACTGCTGAGAGCTGGACTGAGAGCTCGGAGCTTAATAAGGGCCCTGTTATGATCGGTCTGCCTGGCTTGACGCCGCTTTGTCGCATGAGACATGGTAGCTGAGCCCACCCTGATTTCTTCCGTGTCAGCGCTCCCAGAGATGCACCAAGAGCGGTGACAACAGAGAAATCGTTCTTCTAGTTATCCCATGTCGTCGGCGCCCCTCGTAAAACCCTGTGGACACACCTGACTGACTGACGGATTAGGAAGACTTGTTGGCCGTCGAGGCAGCTTGCTTTGTCGTGAAGGTGCCCCGGGAAAAAGGCCCAGTGTCTGACAACCGTCTTCGGATGCGTTTCCCACGCTCTCCGTGGCACCTTGATGCCGCTGTTTCCACAATTTGTGGTCTGCCTGACGCCGCATACCTATCACTGCAACAGACTACGAAATTGACTTCCATGTAAGACTCAACGTCTTCGTGCTGTGCTGTGTCGTGCGCGGTGTGCAGTGTTTTCTCCCTCGCCATGGACTGAACTGAGCGTGCCTCTTCTTTCCCCTTTCGTAGGTTAGGAAGGAGGCGGCGTTTCACCTTCCCCTTTCGGAGGCGGAGGTGAAGATGACAAACTTCATTGGACTGTCCTGGCCTGCATTGTTTTTTCCTGCAGGGAGTCCTGGGAAGGCCAGGCCGTAAAACTCGAGCGCCGAGGCGCTCCCGACAAGCTCGCAGAAGCTCCCATCATGCTTCCGTCGAGAGCTTCCATGACGCTGCTCTCATCATGTGATAACACGCTACCTGTATATAATAAAATAAATGTTACTGTTAGCAGCTCCGGGCTCCTCTCCTCGACATCTCCCCGAGATTCTGGCTGGCTCCAGGTCCTCTGGGCAGAACCCCGATTACATCAGCCCTCTCCCAGTCCTGTTCCCTGCTGAACTTTGCGGTGTGTAACGCCGACACACTGCCAGAGCATGTGAGCGAGTGTGCAATTATCTTCCCAATGCTAGGGCATCCTTGGTTTATGCCTTCAGCAAAGTGACTGAACGTGCTACGGAACCTACCTGCCCAGCATCCGAAAAGCCGACGACTTACCGTCTGTTGAGCTTGAAATGCGGCAAGGGGTACCTCCACCTTGATAGTGAGAAGTAACTTCATTAAATGTTCCAAGTCCCTGAAGATCTCTTCGAACTCGCCTCCGAAACCATCCGCACCGTCGTGACTTCTCGCGCACGGTTATGGGCAACTTCACTGACTCTCGGAACAGTTGGATGAACCCCCGAGCCCATGTGGGCCGTCCAATCCAGCCCAGATCACGCTGCGGAGCGTTCGAGTTAAGCTTGCTGACGACTGTACATTACGCAGGAAGATGAAAAGCACAAGTGCATGACGATCAAGGGCGCAGCCAAACTTTTTTCTTCGTTAAAAAAGGAGGAGGGGGCTACCCTCCCCTTTGTGGTTACGCCAGTTGATCACTGCTAAATGAAAAATGAACCTGCGGATATAAACAAATAGTTGGAGCCATGATCGAGACGATACGAGGCATTGCGATAAATGCCCTATGGATCATTTCTACACAGGTTACAACTCTTTCTGAAATCAGTTCAGAAACGGACATGAAGTCGGACGCTTGCGGAAATGTGCAGCGTGGTTCATTTACACTCGATCTTTCTTCTTATGTGATTCTTAGAGAGAGAAATAAATATAAAAGTGAGCCCCGTAACTGTCTGCATCACAGTGCGACACAACAGTAGCTCACGAGGGATGGGGGTAAGAAGGGATTAAACGGTATAGAGATAGAGGGGGAAGGAGAGAGCGTGGCGCAGGGGCAGCGACATCCGGAAGTAAGGAGAAGACAGGAATGATGGACATGGTCGCAGGAGTCCGAGGACGGAGCACCACTCAGCGTGAGCTCTTGTCAGCGTCAGATGGCGTAGGGCGAGCCAGTCGGCCAGAGCTGCGCTGTCGTCGGAGATAGCGGGGGCACAACCGGTCAGCACGAAATCCAGCGAGCGAGTGCACTCGATCTTGTTACACTGAAAAAAGTACACTTGATAGGGCGTTTTGCCGTCCCATGGAAACATATGGCGTTCCGTTGTCCCTTATGCTTTAGGGGTGCGGGTGGGAACATTCTGTCACTTAAGCTTTACCTTTACGGCTACAAAAATCTGGACTCGCTCCCTGGATTTCATGCCGACCGGCTGCTCACCCGCGATCTCCGACGACAGAGCAGCTCTAGCCGACTGGCTCGCCCTACGCCATTTCCTGACGCCGAGAAGAGCTCTCGCCGAGTGGTGCCCCGTCCTCGACCTCCTGTGACCATGTCCATCTTTCCTATCCTTATTTCCGTGCGTGGGTCTCTGTCCCTGCTCCAGTCTGTTTTATTCCTCCCTATCCTTTTTAATCCCTCCTTACCCCCATCCCTTGCACAGAACTGTATAAGTTCCCTCCATTGAGAGAGGCAGTAGAACTGCGCTTACTTCTTTCTCCCTTTTCAAAGTCACTTTGCTACAAAAATCTCCGATGCGCACAGTATCGAGGTCTAAGCACTGCACATGCGTGCGCTTCGTTGTGGATGCGAAAATCAAAATTACGCGATGACGTGCATCTCAGAACAGATAGTGCAAACAGATTTGTTTAAAAAATTTTTTCAGGGGGCGGGTTGCACGTGCAGTGTGTGTCATTTTCATAATGGCCTGCTATTGGTCCCCACCAGGATTCTGGGTGCTATAGAGGGAACAATCACTTTGGATGCAATGTAAAGAGGTCTGGGCCACCATTATCCCCAAAAACCCATGTAGACATCACTGTACGATGGTCCGACTGTGTACAGATATAGGAGCATCCACCTCCTTTCGTGGTGCCCAAGATGCACGATGATAAAGAAAAGAAATCTTATTATCCAACACACACTTGCTCTTCGGAATTTTAAACTCCTTTTTGAATTTGGGTACAGTAGGTTTTTATCACACTGCAATTACTGCTAGAGGCACTTATTTCAGATCGCAAAGCTGCAATGGGTTTTTCACATGGACTTCGCAAGGAGCGGGCAACAAATTCCTGTAATTTACCCTCATACTTGACGGGTTATGAAAATTTTCACACACATAAATTAATGAGGTTATAAACTAGCCAATTGACAACTAAAATGATACAGGCTCCTTTATAGTGAAACTAACAGTGTGATCTTGGTCACTCTGCACACTAAAGTCTCTGCTGGGACGACACGCAGTGTCATAACGCTTCACTAAAAGGAGCAAGGCTGTGCTAGGCGCATGCGCGTTGCAGCAGTTGAGGAGGCCCTAAGCACGGTGTGGTGTACAGTATGAACAGTCCACAATTTTATTTCTCCTCCACACCCGTGTGGCAGTATCACTTCTTGGCAGCTGCGGCCTCTTCTTTCTGGAGGGAAAGCAGCATCTCTGCCTTCTTCTGCTGTATCCTCTCGGCACGGCGGTTGCGGGCTTCGCGCACCTTCTGCCTCCTGGCTTCCGCTTGGTCGCTGCACAGTGACAGGCATGCACGTTAAACAATGCAACAACTGCAGCACAAAAAAGTCGCACTGATAATAAGAATAAAACAAAGGCAAGAAACTAAAGAGCAGTACTACAGCATCACTTTGAGAATATCCTGAGACTAGTGCCACACGTGTCCAGTTGTCAACGGCTCGCAGTTACTCTTTCTGCTCTGAGCCAAACACACAGGACAAAAAACGCAGCAATCACTACCTGCATGATGGTCGCACTTTTTTCTCTTTCAAAAAATGGACACTGCAGGTAGGAGTCTTTACATAGAATAGTTAGACTAACAAAAACCACAAATGAGAGAGACCTACCCTAGTATTAGGCACATGCATTTACTGCTGCATTGCATAAATTCAAGACTTAGGACACAGGCTATTATGGAGTTTTTCTCTCCAAAAATAAACCTCGTGTTTGGACATCTAGAATGCCTGATCCAAAACACCAAAATGAGTTAGTTCAAAAAACAAACAGTCCCAGAAACGGTAATCTGGTGAGTGCAGTTGAGAGGGGACACAAACACCGAACCTCGCTGAAGCCGTGTCATATTTCTCAGCCACCTCGGTATTGTTGGAAGCTCAATTTTGACCTTTGTGTTCTGCTCCCCTCACATGGTACGAATGCAATGCAAAACGACAAAAAAAAATAATTCCCTAAATAATTCCCTATGAATGCAGACTTTGAATTATCAGCTGAAAAACCTGCACAATTTTCTCTGGGCTCATTTATTTGCATTTGCTAATTTTTGATGACATCAACTTCAGATACGCATCCATTAAGATATGCTAATGCAGTGGTCGCAAAACATTCTGGCTAATTTCAAGCAAAGAATCCAATACAGTCGAACCCCCGCTACAACGTAAAATTCACGGTTCCCCGTCAGCAGTCCATAGGGGTCAATGCATACTATATATTGTCGCCACAACGAACATTTTTTCTTCTGCCGTCCCACTTGTACGAAATTGCACGATGCAATTCTAAACTCAGATATTTATTGCTATACAGGAAACCCAATCTTTAACATTTTGAGAACCTGAAAATTCATCGATGAAGTCTAAAACACTCGTTGGAACCACCAGAAACCGCCGCTGTTCAGCAAGCATGGGCGCCGCCATTGCTCAATAGCGATGGCAATGAGACTGCACTGCTCATGGAGGATGGCTCTGCTTTTGCCACTGCTTTGGAGCCACAGACGATCCGAAGCTGAAGCTCAGTTCATGGTGTCCTTACACACATGCGTGCCCCCGCGGAGTGATGCCTTTTCCGAATCCAATGCTTATTTTATTCGCGCTTGGTCAGTGTGGTACATAATCAAAGCTGCTCTTGTCCGCATTATCAATAGACCTCTACTGGGGTACGTCACAGCGTGACGTCACCGGTGCATGTGCAAGGCGGTGGTTGGCAAAACACTCCTACCAGGTGGCTGAGTGGGGTGCAGTCGCTCGGTGTTTGGGGCATTCTTTTTTCTTTTTGAAAGCTGAACCTTCATCTCACAGTTGCAACATTAGCTGTGGCATGTGTCTGAGAATATCTGGGTGCGTGATGAAATATTCGCCACGCTGGCTGGCTGTTTATCTCGGAGAAGTGAACACACGTGGCGGCCTGTGCGAGGAACAGCGGCATCGTCTTCGAAAATGTGCAGTTGTTGACTGTGACAGTGGCGTGTAGCGTGCGTTGAAAGGCGTCGACAATATTGGTTCATTTTACGGACGGTGAAACTGGGAATGTGTGCAGTGTGAATAATGCGATGCGTCTTATTTGCGAAAACACTGGCATTCATTGTGGGCCGGTTTCAGAAACTGATTGTAAACGAAACTTACAATCCCACATTGTAGTCAAGGTAAAACTACATTCGGCGTGGTCATCTGCGAGTGGGTACACCTCGGCGTATGCACGGCGTGCAGAAAAATAAAAGTGCATGATATCCTGGTGATATATACGACTACGCATGAGCTATAAGCGTTGCCGAATCTGCATATATGCTTCACCACGGCTGTAACTTGTAATCTCGGATACCTGATACGTGTTAATGGAAACGGCAAAGATTTTGGTTTCTTATCCACCTTGTACTTTTACGGCTCGATTCTTATAAAATGAAAATGCGCGTTAGAAGTTTGTGTATCAGGCCTAAAAGAGCGACAGGTACGCAAACATGTTATAGGTGTCAAATGCAGCAAGGTAACTGTGCCAGATAACATTATATATTATTAAGATGTCGGGTTTTACATCACATGAACTTTCACTGGGTTTTTGAGAAACGCAGCGACAGAACTTCACTTCGATTTGCGGCCTCGAAAATAGCATTTTTTTGCACTTAACGATTGAATTAGGCATCGATATTTACAGCATAGGTAGTTTATGTGACATACAACCCAACATTATGGTTTTTCAAACACAGACGCTTTCGCAATTTTTCGGTTTTCAAGGGCCACGTCGCCCCTTAACATGTATGCAAAGGAGCAAGAATAGCGACTCACTTGAGCTGCTTGGACCTGGCCTTCTCAGCCTTCTTCTTGTGGATGTACTCCATGAGGACACGCTTGTTCTTGAACACGTTGCCCTTGGCCTTCAAGTACAGGTCATGGTACCTACGCAAGACGAGGTACCACAATGAGCTCTCAAAGCCTGAGAAAACAAAAGTTTGAAGAGGGCACCATTGACCCACGTTAACAGTCCCACACCACCTATGGCTACATGTCGGTAAAATGACTGTGTGCTCTACGCACCAACAGAAACCGTTTCGGCACATCCTTGAGTAGCAATGCATTTGGGTCATACGTGCAGAAACAAAACCAGCCGAACAATACGAGCGTGATCGCTAACTTGAAAATTTTGAGCAATCGTTCAAAAATTAATCAAAATTAACCAACACTAATAATTATGTGTTAGAAACACTAGCAATTCAGTTTCACAACTATCAGACAAATGCGGACACATTAGACATAAATGGCTCAAACAAAAACTTTGCTGTTAGGAGTCCTTTATTAAGTGCAAATAAATATTCTCAGCCCTACCATACTTAGTGTAAAAAGGAAAGGCTCCAGCAGAATGCTTACAATTCAGTCTTCTAATGATCATGCAAACAGCCTTTAATGCAAATTCTTTCCAACTTTCCTTCTAAAAAACAAACTTCATAAGATTAAATTTGCTGCAGATTGCACACATTATCTACAAGGCTGTTCTTTGTTTCCGAGGCACAATTCTGGCAACAACGGCTCATTATCCAGGTAGAGCTTCTATTGTGACAACATAGTGTGCACTAGCCATACGGCAAGCAAACAGTTGCTCAGACGGGACAACGCTTGTGACAACAAAAGCGGTACTAACAGGTGCTTGTCGATCTTCTTGGCCTCGCGGTACTTCTTAAGCAGCCGCCTGAGGACCCGCATCCTACGGATCCAGATGACCTTGCGGGGCATTCGGGCATTGGCAGTACCCTTCCTCTTGCCAGGACCACAGTGGCGACCCTTGCGCCGAGCCTCTTGGTTCTTTCGGACACGGGCACGAGAGTGCACTGCCACAGGCTTGCGGATGATGAGACCATCCTTAATGAGCTTCCGGATGTTCTGGCCTGCAAGGGAAAGAAAAAAAAAAAGGAAACAACGACAGATCAAAAGAAGCATACAATTAGTCACAGTAACCTCTGATGACGCCTTCACCATAAACTAAATTCTAAAACACTGCCTCTAAAGCATCAACATGCTTCGCCGATCAATGAGAGCTATTCGATAACACAGCTGGCTTACACCGACACCCATGAGGCAACCATGATCAAGCGGCCGCAAGATGAGTTGTTTTCGTAAAATCCTGTAAACTATTTCATGCACTTGATATGGCATTTAGTTGTACCGATGACGCAACGTGTCCTGTGCAGCAAATAGCCATACAGTCAGCTATTTCGTGCTTTGCCACTTTCGGGTTTCTTGGTGCATTCACAGTTAAGGAATGTGTACAACACTGCACTCATCAAGTTTGTAATGCCTTTTACCTTATGCTGGCAGTAGCTTAGGTTCATATTAACAGAAAAAACGCTAGGCATCGCTTAATGATATGGCATTACTAACGTTATCCATGCTTCAATGGACAGCACCCGGCGTTTTATCTGACAACAAAAACATTATCTGACAACAAAAACATTGACCGATCAACAAAAATTATGCACTTTTTAGAAACACTACGATCCGTCAACACCACACGTAATTTCAATGAACACAACACCGAAGACATCACTACGCCGTGCAATATACAAATGACCACCAAGCATACTGCTTTGACACACCGCATTCCGCTAGGAAAAAAACTTCAGCGTTCAAGGCGACGCTCATGTAAGCACTTGTCACCTACTTTCCTGTAGGCTAAAGCTTTTCTATGGTGCACACTGCTATCCCCGAACCTCCGCGATGCTAGTCTACACCAATTTCAACATACATCATCAGCAGTAAAGTTCACCTACGTGAGTTGGAGTTTGCGATCTCGTTTGTCTCGTTGGGATCCAGCCAGACTTTCTTGCGGCCGCACTTGAGGACGGCTGCGGCCAGCCGCTTCTGTAAGCGCAGCGTACTGCAGAAGAAAACATAATTTGTAACGTCAAGTTCGTAGTTGTCAAGACATCTGCTCCCTTCCGCAGCGGTGCACGGGAAATGTGCGAGGGCTGGCAGCTAAGCCTAGCGCCACATCATGTGGCCGCGGCTTGCCGGCAAAACGAGTTTTATTTACTCGGATTCGTTTGACGACACACCGCGATGCTGCGAGCGACCGTAACTACGGTCTCTCGAACGTGTCTTTTGCCAAGAAACGGCAATTTTACTCGCGTTGAAGGCGTAAATTCGCAGAGTCAACTTACCTCATGTTTGCTGCAGAACCACGCGCAGTGTGAAAAGATCTTGCACAAATTTGATCAAAAAGTAGTCATCCGCTCAAAGAATTAGTTCTTACGTTTCGCTAATCAAACAAAAATTACAGGTGGCAATTCCTTAATAATAAAATTAAATATATCTCACAACTTGTGATAAATTTGAGATTATATAAATAATACTTCATAATAAACTACAAAAATGTGTCCATCAGGAGATCCTTCTATGTGCCTTTCACTAGTTCTTATTTCGTGTTCTTGCGCGCTCGTGCTTTGCTAAATAAATATTAGTAAAAACGCATGAATATTATTATAATCATTGCTTATGTGTCTATGTATACGTATTAGGCTACTAAATTATGAAACAATTACGTCTGCTAAGTTTTTTGTATAGCAGTTGTGACTTAACTTAGAACGAAACCAAAGCATAGCCTTCAAGATTTGCAATTCACGTTCTAAGTTTACTCTTGTTTAGAAGTAAACTAACACTTTGGTAATTTCAAAATTTTAAAACATGTGTTTTAAAGTTTTATTGACTTTCTGGGTTAAAAAGTGTTATAAAGTAAGAGTTTGACATTATTTATAGTTGCTATCATCATCAGCACAAAACAAATCCAAAAGCAGTGTTGCAGTACAGTAGTTGCAGCTTGCAGGTCGCGCGAGCCAATCGCGTGCTGGTAGCTGTTCTGTGGTTCCCCAGAGCGTGTACAGGCCGCAAGGTCGAAGGGGCAGCGCATCTCTCTGGTCGATGCGCGTCGTTTCTCGTCTGCCGTCCTCATCTCTCAGGGACTCCTCGGAGGAGCTACGACGCTCTCGCGATGGCTGAACGCGCGGCCCAGAAGCAAGAAGAGTACGATAATAAAGAACAGCATGAGTTCGCCTCGGCGGCCGAGCTGGGAGCCACCGTCCGCGAGACCCGAGTGGCCCAGGGATCGGCGAAAGGGAAAGTGATCGCTGTGTTCACTAGCGGCGGGGACTCGCAAGGTACGATTTATCTCGTATATTGCATGCTCTTCCTCCGTGGACAGAGCTATAGTGTGCCACGAACGGTTATGCGGTCTTCTTCCTTCTCTTATAGTGTTCCGGCCGCCCTCGAAAAAATTCGGCGACCTCCCTGGCGCTTTACGTGACAGTCTGCGCGTAACGCACGGACTTGCCGGCCGGCTGGCATTACAGCGCGCCGTTCTATATGCGGGTGTGCCAATTGTACCGTGTTCTTTCTATATCGCGATGTCTATCATAAGCGCGCATGTTGTAAAACGTTTTGTGTGGCCGGAAGAGGTTGTGTGGCGTACTCGGCTGCAGCTGTCGCCTCGTTAATTCATTGACGGCCTGGCGTAGTTTCTGTTTTGCACCTGCTCGCTCATTAGATTCGCTAAACTCGCGGTGGCGATCTCGATGAGCTCAGAAAGGTCTCCCAAAGTCTTTCCGTGTGCGCGTAAGGGAAGGTAATCGCCCAAACAGAGCATCCGAGCGATCGTATCACCCGAATTCCTTCGCAATAATCGCTGCTTAGTGGTTGCGCCGTCGCGCCGACAAAGTTCCGACTCTAAGCTCATTTCTAATATTGGCACGAGATTTAGTTATCTTTAGATTAGGATTTGTTTGCGCGACACGCGAGAATGTTCTTGTCTGTTTCGTTGCCGCGCTGTAGCAGACGACGCGGGGGTCTGTGTGTAATCTTGAACCAATCTTGGCACCGCGTCCACTCCTCCCCCCTGTTGCATGTATAAACACACGGTTTGAGGAGCTCGTTGAAGGGAAGAAACGTGGGGTCAAGGATTCTTATGATGACAGGAGCCGAAGTTCGCTTTCGTACGAGTGAAATGTGCGCTCGTTTGCATAGCCGAAGCTGCCGTGGGTGTTGTCTTTGGCGCTCACTGACAGGATTCACCTTGCCGGTGACCTTTCGGCGTTCTTCCAAATTTGTCGGGCGTTCCACTTTCGGCTTTCAGCTTTATCTGTTTGCTGTTCGCTGCCAGCTAGCTTCCGCCATTTTCCGGCTAACTGTCAATCAGCGCGCCGTAAAAGTGTGGTGATTGATTGATCCTTTGTTATCGTTTGTTGTTTACTACGGCGCATATTGCGTGGAGCGGTAATGTTTCCAAATCGCCACGCAGATATGGGATAACCCGTGTAACCTGTCGGCTAGTGTTTGTACAAACGTGATGTAATTGCATTTCGGTGTTGCACAATATCGAGATCGATTCACAACTTGGACATTACTCTCCGTACATTTAGACCTGATAAGGACTATCTGTGGACAATTAAACAATTGATTGTTATCAGCTTATACACATTCTTATTTCGTAGTCATCGAATTACGTTAATGATATGAGCTTATATGTATACACAGCAAAAGCTTACGAGCACGAGATCATCCCTCCTCACTGCGCAAATCTCGGACGGCATAGACCACAAATGGCATCTCTCCAAGATTCAATTCCCCCAATAGAGTGGCCTTGTTTTCCTTCTAGATGTTGTTGCTGTTGTCTTGAAGTCTGCGTCGCGCTCGCTTCATGTTGGTTTGTTTCGCTTAAAACCTCCACATTTGTTTGTTCTTTTGTGGGCTGGTGGCCTTCGACACGAAATGCCCCGAGATTATGTTTCTCTGCATAAAATCTCAAGTGTTCAAATTGCACTCACATAGAGTGCATGTGATCATGATAGATCTAGCCTGATCAAGCTTTGAAAGCGCCCCGCATACACTACTTGTTTCCTGATTGATATATACAACATTCTGGAAAATCGTCATACAATTAGGTACTATTCGACCAACTCTAGCGAAAAAAAAATTAATACTACTGCAGTACTATTTTGCAACATTTTAATGATATCTTTAAGGGAATTCTCGGATTTTCTATTTGTAGCAAAAGCTTTATTTATTACATCATGATCAAACTATGTATATAACTTATATACATGCACACATCAATAAACCCTTTTGTATATACATATTGCATTGAATAAGCAAAATAAAAAGTTGTTCAACTCACTTTGCACAATAGCTGACATCAAATGAAACTTATCTTTGTAAGATCGTTGCAGCATATAATGCTAGTGTATAGTTCTGTTCAAAATTTAGAAGAAAGGAGTCGTTATCCATGAGATAATGCACCTCTACAATGAATTCATCTGCGCGTAATTACAGCCATCACCAGTGAAAGTGCTTGTATTCTGCAGGTTTGCACCATGTTTTCTAATGTGAACGATTCCGGTATGTACCAAGGTTCTCTGCCTACGTAACCTTGAACGTTCGGTGAGTTGGTGATAGTTCATGTTTAATTATGAAGCAGCGCATGGAGATAAGCACAAAAAGAATGAAAGGGACACCGCTGCACTCGCAACTAGTTTATTTTGCGGAAAGAACATGGGTAATATACAACATGATAGTGTATGAACCTTCTGAATCGCGCTCCTGAGGAACCAATAAATGGCAACTGCACACACGTGATGCCAGGAAAGTCTTGCCTCCTTCCACCTGATTATGTAAAAATGAGTCTGCACAGGTGGGCGAGAAATGACGAGCCTAGATGAGACAAACAGTTACAAGACGCACGCTTACGCAGCAGTGCTGCGTGTGTGCTTCTTGTAATTTTTTATCCCTTCTAGGTGCACCGATTCATCGCTCAGTTTGCACCGACTGGCCTGCTTACAATCTGCATTGTATAGGTGGCCTTGTTGGTTTCAAGGATCACCAACTCCAGCACCAGAACCAAGGAGCCCTTGCTTCTGCTTTCTGTGCATATTATAAATACCAGAAATGAAATGTCAATGTGTTTTGAGAATGCAAAGTTTTAAAACTTGATGTTGCTAAACTTAACACCCCCCCCCCCCCTCCAGCTGCTCTCAAAATGTATGCCACTAAAAAATCCTGCGGAGAATCATAGTGAATAAATAGTACATCAACTGCTGTGCAATAATAATTAATGGTATTGAAATATGGGAAACGATATTATTTTGCTTTTTTTGTGTGTGATGTGAACAGTAATTGTTTCCTCATTGGCACTAGTTCAATAATACAGGGAAGAAGGCAGCAGGAAAAATGAAAGCAATAAGGAAGATGAGACAATTCGGCATTATTTCTTTTTTATATTGTTTTTTTTCTCACTGGCGGGCTGTCATGAATGTGTATAGTTCGTTCTTTTTAACCAACACCAATTGATGTATAGAGGAATGTAGCTCATTCAAGCTGGTACTGTTCTTTTTTTTTTCTCTCATATTTGGGTGGTAAGTGAACGAGTAGAAAAAGATGCAATGAAGTACTGTCCATGTTTAAATCCACGACCTGCAAGGTGTCCTATCAATAAAGTGGCATTGGCATCTGTTTTAATACCATTCTGCCCAAAATGTTAAATCTTTTCACATAAACAAAGATTGGGCTATTTCTAACAATGGCTGACTGGTTTTTACTAGCAATATAGACCCTTTTCATTATGCACAAGTGTACTTCTTTTCACTGTATGTTTGCCCAAGAAATGGCTGGCACCTTCGTGCTTAAAGCGGACGCGTGGTCCTAGTTGAAGGTGCTTGTCTATTACGAGTGTTTATATCAAGAGAGCAGACTCTAAATTTTCCGCATCACTACATAAGCAAATCACTCTTGAACAAGCTGTTCGAAATAAGTGACTAGCCATCGTTACTTCAAGCTGCATAGCAGAAAAGCTAACCTAACAATTTTAAAAATGATCTATTTTGATAGCTCGACTTTACATGCCTGTCCTTGGCTAACCGTAACACTCGGAGCTACAATGGGGCCGCATAGGCTGTAAACCTTAGCCTATGTCTACAAACTGTGCTGAAAATATATTCAGTAAAAGCAACAATATTTTGAAATGTCCATTGTCATTTACGTTGTGCTGGGTTTGTCGTGAGGCGGAATATGCAACTGTTCACTTGTGATGGGCAGTGGTTGTCAAAAACTCAGGTCACTAACCTTTTCCACATCTGGTCATGATATTGGATACAGAAAATGCTTCCCATAAACAATATTGCCACGTGAAGAATTCTATGGCCCTTTCGCTTCTGATGTGATGCAACTAATATCAACTGTTGCTCAGCTACATTGAGAGTCGTCTCGTTTCTAGCCGCGTAGCGCAACTCTTCATAGCCAAATCCATGCATTCTTCCAAGCTGCCGTTGGCCAAGAATGAATCGCTGTTTGAAACTGTCAAACATTTGTTCACGTGCATTGCCTGCATGATTTTTGGGCTGCCATAGAGTGACTGGCATGTTTTGTTGTAGCGTGAACTGTCATGGCATAGCATGTCGCTAGTTCCTTCGTGTGATCATGGCTTGCAGTTTAGCCAGAGAGGCGGCTATGCATTTCTTTATTTCGGAGTTGCTTGATGCTGACACGACTGCAATTTGTCTACTGCCAACTTTGCTCGCCTCATTAAGAAGCATTTTTGTATTCGTGGTTTCATAGAAAAGTAGTGTCAATATCAGTGAATGTCTAACCTGTCTGTTTTCTGTATTTGCTGTCTTGTAAACTAAGTTGTTTCTCTTGTTTTTTTTGTTCCTCTTTTGCAGATGATTTTGTTTCAATAGACACTTTGGTATGTTACCTGCAAGATTTATGACAAATGATAAAATAAATGCAGCAGCTAGCATCCTGCCTGCTTTCTGCTGCAGTTCACAAGTTTTTCTCTTCATTTTTTTAATGAAGTGCAGCTTAGGTTGTTAGCCTCAAAAAAAAAACAAAAAGGCCAATTCCTATTACGCCATCTTTATATGGCATTTTTCCTGAGCTCCACATCATGGGTTTGTTTCTGTGACGTAGTGTCAGTTTTGGGCCCAGGACCACTCAGCAAGGAACTGAATCGAACCACGAGCGCACAGACACCCACACGAGAATATATTTACAGAGAGCGTAACTATGAACGAGTAACATTTAAAGTAGTAGAAACAAGCAGTCTATAGCTGTACTCAATGTCTCTCTAAATTAGAAAAGTCTCGCCGTGTTTTGAGGTGGCTTGCGGGTCGCCGGCGCCTATCGCTCGTGGACTGTGCCCCGTCTGGCTCGTTGCCGTCCTCAACGTGCGTCGGACCACTCTGTGACACGGCCTTCTGCCGCAACAGCAGCAGTTGGTAGCTGATTGGTAGCTCCGCAGCAGCTCTCCGCCACCACGCTCGTCTCAGCAGCACACCGGGGTCGCGCCAGCCACCCGGAACGGCAGCAGGAACATCAGGCCCGCAACAACCAAAACCCACAGCCACTCTGGACGGCAGCCAGCACCGCGGTACCTCGCCTGGTCCCTGGGCCAGTCGCCCAGCCGGAGTACAGGCCTCGTTCACAGGATGTCCAGCTGTCCGGAACGGCAGCCAGAACAGCAGTGGATCGCCTGGTTCCTGGGCCAGTCGCCCAGCTGGAGTCCAGGAATGGTAGAGCGCCTAGATGCCGCTGTCTAGTTCCCCGGACCGGACGTCCAGCCGAGAACCGACTCCTTGCACGCGCTGCCTCGAACCACCGCACACCACGCGCACGCTTCGTTTTTCTCTTCTCCCCTGCATGGCGAACACTGAATTCTTTTTTTTTTCCCGCGCCTCTGTATCATGACAGTTTCCCATCCAGGGCTGCAGCATTTTAATTTGGGTACTCTGTAGTATACAAGATATTGTCACTTGCTCGTCTTTATCGTGTTTTGCTTAGGAGCACGTACAATTCCGCCAACAATGATACTGCGTAATGCAAACCGTTACGCTTGTGGCACTATTATCATTTACGTGCCTAGTTTTGTGTGTACAGAAACTGACTCTAGGTGGTTAAAATCAGTGTGAAACTCACTAATTTCACCTCGAATTTTATGAATCGGTACATTTATTACTCATGAACTTTACAAAGGCATGTATTTTATCTAACTTGAAGTTCTGTTTTCAAGTTAAATGGCTACCAATCATAACTGCATTCTCACAAACTGCACTCACAAAGGGAAGTGAGAACGTCTAAAAAATCAGGTAAAAAAAAATTTCACTATCACCCATTCCATGTTTCTTCCTTCCTTACGTAACGGTATTGTATTTTCTATCTATAGTTCTTATTTCCTCACAATTGTACTAGATTACATTCCTGATTTGATAAGTGACAGTTTTTATTTTTGCCTACCTTGTTTCTTAGTGACCTGTTGCTTTCTACTGCTAAGAGCAAGCTTACATATTGTTGAGTATCGGGTGTCTTAGTTTGCAGCTGTTTCTTGCACAGAGCTGATATTTGAAGCAGACAATGCGACACTGAGTTAAGGAAACATTATTGTGCGGAATAAACAGAGGCACTGCATAGTCAGCACTGGGGCCGCCAGCTTATTGGGCTCGCACTTGTGTGCGATTACTACCCAGGATTTCTTCGGACACTGCTTTTTCGTCTTCGCGCCACTCGGTGCTTTTATAGCCCCTAAGGATCCCTTGCATCAGCCAGTAGTTCGAAGCCTCCAATCAGCAACCACCATTGTTCACTGGCTGAAATCGGACCTGGGGATTGAGAGGGCTTGCGGTACGTTGCATGAGGAATGGCTGTTGGTTAGCCAAGGTGTACCGCAAAAGTTGCTGTGGATTGCATAGGACTCCCGCCTTGGTTGTGCCTGTTGCACCGGACACCTCGCTTATATTGACACTGGTTGCATCAGCCACTCTATCGATGTTGATGCCACTTGCATCAGATGTTCTACCAGCTTGAATACTTTGCCACAGCAATAAAGTTTGGATTGGAATCCCTGGTATAACTACATGGTTTCCAAAGCTGTTAGAACATTATCTAAAATTCTTTTTACTTGTATTTCTATTGATTTAGTGTCACAACAGCTCTATTGATACTCGGTGCCTTCATTGCTCTCTATATATTCTAATACTCAGTTTTAAAAACTAGCCTCTGCATGGGTGTTTCACTCTCCGGAATATCTGAGCTTTGTTTGTTGAGGTTTACTTTTATTTACACTAGGGTGCGGCACTATGTTTAGCACGAAGCCTAGAGTGTACCCACTCGAGTGGAGGTCGCTAAGAAGCATGGCCATGTTTTCACCATGTGCGTTTTACTGTACGGTTGTACTTTTAGCCAAAGCGAGGATGACTTTAGTGAGGAAGAGAATTATGTGCCTCTGCAAGAGAGTGATGACAGGGATTCAACAAAGTGAGTAACGAAAGCTACGAGGACAGCGGTGGGGACACCACCTCTGTTTTTTCTGCAAAACCTGCTCTAACAACCCTGGCCTGCACCCAGGAGAATGCTTGAAGCGGTATCATACGCTGCTCAAAGTTGCTAAAGGAGTTGCCTGCAGAATGCAGGAGCACGAATAAATATTCTGTGAGTTTTTCTTGCACAGTTTCTGTTTTCCTTCATGGCGCCAGAAACTGGCAAAATAGGTTTGAACCGGTAGAGCTGGAAAGTGGGTAAAAGTTTTGAACCGCAAAGCACTCGTGGTTAAGCTTTGAGGTGGTAGTAGAGCCACCACCTTTTATAAGTATCACGTGATAGTGGTGCTACAATATGGTAGCACACATGCCATTTGTTGCACTGTTTTTTTTTTTCCTTTTTATTTCTGTGACACACACACATTTATTATAGTTATAATTTTGGTAATGCATATTTCTACAACTTATGCATGTTTTTGGGGCTAACTGTAGCCTTCATTTTTTTCAGTGAATCATTTGAAAGTAGTGGAATTACCCAATTTTTTTGTCATGTACCCGTTCATGATGTCCACCGACATTACCACCCATCCCAGGCACGAAAGCCTTGACTTAGAGCAGCTTCACTGTAAAAAAAATTGCCCTTTTTTGATTCCTCAAAGTTGTGGCGGTACTTCAACTGCCTGCTTGGACCGTTTTGATGCAGGCATGAATGCGGCCGTGCGTGCCGTAGTGCGCATGGGTCTCTACCTGGGCGCCCGAGTGTTCTTCATCCGGGAGGGCTACGAGGGCATGGTCAATGGTGGTGACTCCATTGTCGAGGCCACCTGGGTCAGCGTCTCGGGCATTATCCACAAGGTGACCAATTTCGTCATTCCATCAGCCTTTCAGTCTATGTTTGTTTCGTGAAAAGGTAACGCGGAAGTGTTTGTGGCACCTTGAGCCTTGCTCCCTGCTCGACTGCTGGACAGTCCAAAATTCATACCTGCATCGCATGAGTCAACCAAAAATATGGTCTTTTGGGTGTTATCACAAAGTGTTCCTTCAACGCTGAGGTGCTGTGTCAACACCGAAGTGAGCAGGACCATGGGATTAACAACACTTGTGTGTTTTCATGCAGGTTATGGTTCGTCGAATGCTTTATATAATAGAAGTGGTGTGCAAGACACGTAGCACAAGACAATCAATTTAGTGCCCAGTCAATTTTTTTTCATTAAAACAAAAACATCTTAATTGAAAAAAAGTTATTTGCTTTACAAACACCACAAAAGTCGAAATTGTATATAGCTGCATCAGGAATGAATCAAACTTCGAAAAAAGTTGTTATATTCCACTTTTTTATATATCTTCCTATCTAAAAAATTCAGAATTGTTTGAACACCAGTGTCATATAGAACATTAGCGCTATCATGTACCGTTAACATTGCTTTAGAAAGTTGGTCTATATGTCACTAATGCAGGGCCGTGATACAACCGGCTCTTTGCTTTCAGTAGACCTGGAAGTACAACCAGATTTCATGTTTAGATTGCTTGTGCGATAAAAAGTGGTAAAAAGTGCTTTGTTGTACCACTTGGTATGCATCTAGAATCTTTGACAATTCACATCGTAGACAATGTGCAATCGGAAAGTGTTGCAATGTTATGTGTTAGGAATGAATAAACCATTGATTCTACCATCTGTAATGTAAAAGTGTGCACTGTTCGTAGCACTGTGGAATAAACTTGTTTGTCAATGTGCCCCTGTTTGCAAAAGCTTGATTGTCACTGGTGGTCCGTAGTCGCGAATTTTTTTATGTTATTAGCCAGAAATCGCACAACTACCTCGTGTGTATTAGTGAACTATTACAATACTATTAGTAGTACTAGCACAATTCATAGTGATACTACTGTCAATTGCCTCTGCTACATTATCGGTAGTGTCTGTTACTCGATCATCATTGATTCAGCTGTCTATTGCTGTGCCTCAAGAAACAGGCACAAATAGCTCTCAGAGACAAAAGAAAGGAGCCAGCTATATACACGTTTCTCACTGGTGCCTCAGTCACTCTCGAAGAACGGGCAGATTTAGTTAGGAAACATTGGGTCTTACTCTTAAGTGAAATTTTTTTTACAGCAAAAGCTGTTATGAGATTATAACAGCCAATTTCGGTGGGGCAGTTCTTTGCTACTGCCTCAAATGCCGGTTTTTATAACAGCTATTTTGCACGAGTAAGAAAAAACTAACAAAACAGGTCCTAAGCGAGGTTTCAGCCCAGGCACCCTATATGGCAGTAAGGTATTCTACATTAGAACCACATTGGTTCTTGCAAAACCTTCACCAAGAGACCCGTCAGTCTGTTGGGCAAGAAATAAAATAACTGAATGCAATGTAGCGATAAAAGAGTAATACCAGGTGTGACATGATGCTAATTGTACAGCGAGTGGATGGCCTAAAGCTTTCAACCTGTTACATAATGTTCAGCCATGATTATTCAGCAGCCATAGCATCAACAAATAGTGTCTTGCCGTACATATAGTGGGTACCCCCTACTTCACAGAAGGAGTTGGGACATAGTTAATACCTTGCAACTGTACGTGCGACAAAAGCTGCACCACCGATTTTCGCTGTGACTGTGCTGCACGTCTCATGCGAACCGGACAGTGGTTGGTGTTATTTATTATTTAACCCGTAGTTTTTGCCCAACCAGACTATAGTATTTCTGTGAAATGTTTGCGTTTAAGCCCATTGGTGTGCACTTCTGTAATTGTACTTGCTCACTCGGCCTTTCTTGCCACTTTTCAATACCCTTGCAATGGGGGCATTAAAACAATAATTTTTAAGGATATGCTTAGGGAGAAAATCATATTTATAAGGTGGCCTCACTGCAATTTATGTGAAGTTACACTAGCAGCTTTAGTTAGATTGACCCAGCCGTTGGCTTTAGCTCACTTCGTCCACTTGCGCAGGGTGGCACGGTGATTGGCAGTGCCCGATCCCAAGACTTTCGCGAGCGTCAGGGCCGCCTGAGGGCAGCCAAGAACTTGGTCCACTGCGGCATCACAAACCTGGTGGTGATTGGCGGCGACGGTTCCCTGACTGGGGCGAACCTCTTCCGCCAGGAGTGGCCGTCCCTGCTTGACGAGTTGGTCAGCAACGGTGCGTTGACTTGCCTGCCAAAGCATTTGCACCGTTTGAAAGGATGTCCTATCCTCAATCCTCCTGCTTGCATTTCCTTTCTTAAAAACTGTGCACTTGCTTCATCCTTGTTTAAATAAGAAAATAGAAAAAACAAACTAATAGCCATGCATCTGATGGCAGTACATCTGCATTCTCGTTGTGCTTGCTTTAAGCTATTGAGGAGGAGTGAAGGTAGGATGGGTATGGGGATGAGCAACTGATGTTGAGTTTTATTGTCTGCGTTAAGAGTGTTAGATCAGGCAAGACATGAATGAGTTAGGTGTAGTCCAAGGATGGCGTAAGTGTCATGGACGTCGGTGTGCCTGTGAGCATTTAGCTGTGCTGCATGCACGGGATATTGCTCTCAACTTTGATGAAGTGACTACAGCTGCATTTTTAGCTTTTCTTCACATCACACATCTTTGAGTTCAACATTGATCACTGTATGTGGCTTCCTCCTGTTTTCTGCTAATAATGCATGCAGCGCCTGTAAAATGTATACTGTCACTTTGGAAACAAGGCGATGTTTTTAAGGGTTGGCACAGAATAGCCAAAAGAAAGGCACTGGCACGAGGACTACCGTGTCTTCGTCTGCCTTTTTTCGCGCTTGTTAATTTAAGCGCATAGCATTGCCCCTCCTCCCGAAAGAGCATCAGCTCGATGCTAAATGAAGCGTTTAAGGTAAACATAAACAAAGTCCTAACGTCTATAAAACCATGAATGTCAAAATGTGTGGTATAGTTTTAAATGCACCACATGCACAATTTCGGGCTCTGGCTCTCTGAGTCGTGGAGGTTGGCTTCCGTCCAGAAAGACTTCATACTTGACATTTCTCACTCGTAGTAGCACTTTGTAAGGGCCAGAATACAGACTTAGAAGCACTATACAGTAAAAGCTCATTGATTCGCATCTCACGAGACCAGAAAAAGTGTACGAATGAACTTAATGCTGAATTATCAAAAGTATCAAGGAAACAAAATTTCTATGAAATCAATGCCTCTTAATTTTCTTGAGTCCACTAGTTATTTTACAAAAGAGCAGTGTAAGCTGCAACTATCATCATTCGTGAGTTCATAATGTCACAACCCCGGTGTCATAAGCTTTGACGTGCTCTGAGCCCATGCCTTATTACATACCAAGAAAGTGGTAGCAGAAGGCAATGCCTTTCAAGAAGCTCGTGGCTGTTTTTGCTGCTGGTGAACACCCTTTGCGTTTCTTTGCGTTGCACACCTGCGGTGCTTCGATCTTGGTGTGTTCTTAGGACCTTTCGAATTAACTGTGCTGCGACCAAAATCGACCAAATTAACAACAGCTTGATGCCACTAAACAATGCATATGCTGTGCGGGACCAGAGAACATGCCCAAAATACATATCATATTTTCAGAATTGGCGAGTGTTGAATTAATAAGCTTTCACTGCATATATTTTTCACTTGCGTGGCCTTCTGCAGGCAGCATCACCCACGAACAGAGGAACACTTGCAGTCACCTCAACATTGTGGGCATGCTTGGTTCCATCGATAATGACTTCTGTGGCACTGACATGACCATTGGAACCGACTCTGCGCTTCATCGCATCATGGAAGCTGTAGGATGCTATCGCCACCACTGCATCGAGGTGAGCTCTCTCTGCTTTCGTGATTGATGTACATGCTGCAGTTGTTGCAACTTTTTGACCCTTTCGTGAATGCTTTTTGCATTTCGTTGTGCATTGTTTATAACAATGTTTTGAATAGGTATGTTGATCATTTATGGGCCGGAACATTGGTGCTTTACTTGAGCTCAGTAATTCCCTCGTATGATAAGCCGTTCACAAAAGTTCTTTCTGCATCATTAAAGATTAATCATACATATAAGTAAGGACAAATCAGCATAGTGTCTGTTTAATATCTCTTTACCATAGCACAAGCTGTTGCTTTAAAGATGCAGTTGAAATGCTCTACGTAGTTGGCTTGCATTCCTAGAAGTTTGAATAATGGTTGTTCTTGTGAAAAGAAATTACTTTCATACATAGTTAGCGTAAAACATTGAGCGAAGTTGCGTCACACACAAGGCTGTCTTTCAGAGGCTGTCACATGGCAAAATGTCGGCACTTGTTGCCTGGTGCAGCTTACTTCAGACTTCACTTCACCGAGCTTGCTCCTTAAAAGTTCATAGCCTCAGCAGCAGCTAGAGCGTAGTATTTTTGCTCATGAATTTTTCGGTTGCTCTCTCGCCAATAGACGGAAGCCTTTAGGGCTGTATGCCAGGCAGGGCTGCTATTGCGTGCGACATGCAGTTGTGGGTGAAACTGCAAACAATCTCGCAGCATCTTACACTCCTCCTGATTCCGAGTTTGCCTTTTCCCGCCTTTCCACTCTCTAGTCATCAGAGGACTTTCATCCTTGAAGTCATGGGAAGACACTGTGGGTAAGTGCTACGCATCTGTGCTTGCTGGACGTTCTCGGTTTTGTACGGTCTTGCCACGTGCTCCTTTTTTCTATTTTCTTGTAAGCGTCCCCTTAGACATGTAACTACTTCCTTGCATGTGCCTGCTGGAATGTCATATTCGGTAGAGGTTTTACACAAAATATGAATATGAGTTTTATTAGGTTGTTGTTCTGGTTCCGTAGTGAGGGTGCTTTGATTATTCGAATTTTGGATCCTGAAGTAATGGCAGAAGGAACGTGCATTACTTTTTTGCAGTAACAGTAACTTGCTACCTCTTTACCTCTTTTTGTAGGTAACAATGGGCAGTAGCATGGTCCTCCATAGTTTGTGTAGCTTGTAACTTACTTAGTTGCTTTTCTTTTGGTAATGCATGCAGCACTTGTCTCTATTTATTGCAAGTTCCCACACATCTTCTAAGTAATTTGTTAGCACTGCCCTGTGAGCATGGAAAAAAATTTAAAATTTTGTCTATTAATTATTTTAATTTGTATTGTTATTCACATTCTTCTGTGTTTGAGTGTGTACATGCATATGCATGCACTATAGGAAAGATTGCCTTTCTGCACCATGGGTCTAAAGTAAATTGTGTGAAAGTTTTTTATTGCTAATGACTACTTACCGTATAATGTATCAGATGGCTCTCTAAGCATTCTATGGCTGTTAGTTTATAGATTAGAAAAGTTCGTACAAGATATATTCTTGCAGTCCCATTAAGGAAGGCTTAGCGAGAGTTGCGTACAATGCGCACGATTGCAGGTTTTATTTCCAGCCAGTGATTTGATTCTGGTGCATGTTAAAGAACAAGCAGAAAATGTGGAGGCTGTTTCATGAATTTGAAGCCCTGTGTTAGGTTTTAAATGCAGATTTTAAATGCCTTCTTTGCTTCATGCGCATCTTTTTTTTTTCTCCCTTAACCTAGGTATCTGGCCATTGTGGCAGCCTTGGCCAGTGAGGCTGACTACGTGTTCATTCCCGAATTACCGCCAGAAGTCGACTGGCCCAACACCCTTTGCGACAAACTGATTAAGGTGAACTGCCACTTCACATAAATTGATACTGTTAATTGCACTTCAAAGAAAAAGTTTGCATTCTTCACACTTCTCCAACCATAGCAAAAAACTCTGCAGAAGCTCACTCTGAGAGTAGTGGTGTGTAGTTATTTACCTGCATTGCTTCTAACTACATAACTGATTCAGTAATATAAACTGCAGCTTTAAAATATAATATCATCATCACACTGCACCTTTAAATGTATCCAACCGACAGTTAAGCTGAAGAGAGCGTTGGTGACATCATTGGTTTTAACTGTAGTGTAGCAATTATAATGTATCATTAGGTATTTAATGATCCATAATTACCACTTGGTTGTATTCTTTTAATTCTGTCTATCAAATAAATAAGTCCTTGGAGCAATTTTAAATGCGAAGCATTTCTTAGCGAAATTCGGCGACATTGAGCTATCAATCTACCTATCTATCATTTATCTATCTATCTAGCCACCTACGACTTTTAGCTCTCCTGGCCGTTTCAATAATGGTATTGATACCAAACTTGGTATGGCATAACATGACTGTATGAAGAACACATTTGACTAGTCATAACATGAAAATCATGAATGTCATGATTTACATTTCATGGTACTGCAGCTCTTGTGGTGGTTTCGTTCACATGGCATGTTGGAAAACTGGTATAGTATGGCATGATAGCATGGCGAACACAAGCGGCAGACCCTAACATGAAAATCATGACGTGTGTCATGTAACAACATAACTACATGCCACGCTCATGATGCGCTCGCGGCCGTTTCGCTAGCGTCACATATACCGAATTTGGTATTACAGTACTTGAATGGATGACGAAGGTATGTGACTAGCGCAAACATGATAATCACCATATGCGTGTCATGTAACAACTTGACTACTTGCCGCGCTCATGATGCGCTGGCGGCCGTTTCGCTAGTTTCACTTAAAATAAATTTGGTATTATGGGACGTGAACGGATGACGAAGTTATGATACTGGTGCAAACATGATATCCATGAGATGCCTGTCATATGATAGCATGACTACATGATGCGCTCGCGGCCATTTTGCTAGCTCCACATATATCAAATTTGGTGTTACGTGACGTAAATGGATGATGAAATATATGACTGGTGCAAACATGATAATCCTGACACACGTGTCATGTGAGAACATGACAACATACCACGATCATAGCGTGCTCGTGGCTGTTTTGCTAGCTCCACATATACTAAATTTGGTATCACGTGACGTAAATAGATGACAAAGGTAAACGACACCTCCAAACATGATAATCATGACATGGAAGTTATGGATGGCATCATTTACCTCCACCTCGTAAGGTTGTGCTGATTTTAAAGTGACATATCAACATTTCTCATTCGTGCTTTGCATATCATCGATTCCCACTGTGCGTGGTATCTGCCAATTTTTCTTCTTCGTTCTTTCTGGGCATCTCTGTGTCATTCAATTGGAATGACATAAGCATATATAGTATTGACATTGTTCTGCAGTTATGCCGCAATTTTCAATGCCACTAGAAATAAACCACTTCTGCAGTCAAGTTGGCTTCAGGAGCTTATTTGACTCTAGAGCTCATGTGCGTGCTGCAGTATTTGGCCATATGTTAAACTAGATCGAATACCCCATTTTTTCACATGCCGCTAACAATTTTCAATCACAAGTGCAGGCAGTTAGAGGAGTCCATCTCTATCCCTCATAGCTTTGCTGCTATGTGTAAAATGGTTGTTAGTGCCCTCTGTGGGTTTTTTTGCGATGAATGAACAAGCCTAAGTACTTTTAATACATGCTTGGTAGAAAATGTGACTACCAGCTTGCAGATTTGCTACTAACCTACAATCATATTAAATTTAGGAACATCACTCTACGTATGAAAAAGATTATTAGGGACTATTGGATAGCATGAGAGTTATGCGCATATTCAGTAAAAAATAAGGACAAGAAAGGCATGAAAACGTACAAGTCCAACACAATGGTAGTGCTTTAGTGACGTAGCAACGTGAAGCTCGTTTGAGTGAGCAAGGTACCGCAGTAGCAGTGGATGACATAAGCAGAACGTTGGCACCTGTAGAAGTTAGCAAGTCTGTGTGATGAGGGCTAACGAGTACGGTGATTGATGAGAACAGAATGTCAAAAAGTGGTTTGTGCAGAGATAAGAATGAGAAATATCTCTGTACATTCGAAGCTTAATATCAAATGGGAAATTGGTGATGTTGAACAGGTGCAGTGTAACAGTGCAAGGTGACTGACGCACGTAGAAAGGCAGCATGGACATGTTGCAATTGTGAACTTGGTTCACAGAAAACTGGGTGACATGTTCAACATCTGCAGCCCTGCATCCCAGTCTTCTCCCGCTTTGTCCCATTTTTTTTTTTTTTTCTAGCAGTTTTCTTCACGCTCTCTACATATGCATTGGTATGGTGTACATATCGGAATAGGTGTGTCGTCTACAGCCGAAAACAAGGCTCTCTTCTGTGGTGATGGCCTGATGTGCGAACCCTTTCAGCCCTGGGTTTTTCTATTTTTGTCGGACATCTCTTTTGTGCACGGTGACCACAAACAAAAAATTGAGCCAGTCGTTCAAGTATTGATGGAATGATGAACATGGCATCAAATTAGGTTATCACGGCTCAGTGGTTGCAAATAGAGAGAAATGGCTTTTTTATTCCTGCTACTCTGTACAGTACACAATATTTGAACAAACGTCTTATTTGCCATAGCCATAATAATCGAAACTGCTTAAATATGTCGCCCCGCCGCAGTGGTCTAGTGGCTAAGGTACTCGGCTGCTGACCCGCAGGTCGCGGGTTCAAATCCCGGCTGCGGCGGCTGCATTTCCGATGGAGGCGGAAATATTGTAGGCCCGTGTGCTCAGATTCGGGTGCACGTTAAAGAACCCCAGGTGGTCGAAATTTCCGGAGCCCTCCACTACGGCGTCTCTCATAATCATATGATGGTTTTGGGACGTTAAACCACGCATATCAATCAATTCAATGCTTAAATATGTCATCTGAAAAGGGCACTTATCTGCTTCAGCTGATGTGCCTGGGCTTAACTCAAGGCTTTGATCAAGCTTCTTCTTTGTGGCCCCCAGCTCCGCAAACATGCCATAATTTTGATGTCAATCACAGTGGGGATTATTGAAGGAGTATTCATTCCCCCAAAAATGAGCAAATTCGGTTTCATTTCCAAGGTGCTAAGGGAAATGTGTGATAGTCTCAGTTGACACCACCAGGGTCAAAAGGGTTAAAGCAATCTACTGCAGCCCTATTTGTTCCTACAGCCTGGTGTTGCTTTCGGCGAGTAGAAATACATGGCCTCTGGTATCAGTAGTTGCCTTTGCTTCAATATTCGGGCAAGTTCGTGCGAAACTGAATGAATTGCCTCTGCCCGGGTCTCTTGTGCACACTGGCAATGGAGATATCCTCATATCATCGTTATTCGTTGATGTCTTGTTGTTCAGGAAAGAGAGCACGGCAAGAGACTGCACATCATCATCCTGTCTGAAGGTGCACAGGATAGAGAAGGGAAGCCGATCACAGCCGAGATGGTCAGAAAGGCAAGTAACTACCGCCTTGCTTGATCTGTTGTGCTTGCATTCAGATTTAACTTGACATTGTCAGTGTGCTAAAATGCTTTGTTTAGTGTGGATACGCTGAAGAGAAAGAAATATAGTGGGCTTGTTTGTAAAATTTCATGCTGCGTGCAGAGTAATTATGTTTGACTCCCATGTTGACAGGAGCCTTGACGACTGATTTATGGCATCATTTGTCGAGAGAAGAGAGCGATTTAGAGCTGGACTTCCAGAAGTACTAATTGTAAATTCCAGGCCGCCTGCTGTGCTATAATGCTTGGCTCAGATGTTCTCTGAATCCTCGACCACCTGTCGGCAGTGTTTTTTGACCATGCTCAGAGTTGTTGCAGGGCCTCTTCTAGATGATGTGCAGGCATGATAAACACAGGTGTGAAACCCCAGCTTTAATGGAACTCTAACATTATATCCAAGGCATCTGTCATACTATGCATCTGTGTACTTCGACACAATATGGTGGTTGTCGGACTTGTTGCCACCCTAAGTATCGTCCACTGGAGTACTCTTTGATCCTGACTTATACACGACATCACTGCAAAAAAAGAAAAACAATGTCGCAATTAACTCTGTGAGCACTACATACCTACACTTGTGCCCATGCTCTTTGCATGCTCTACAGTCATAACAGACGACTTACCCTCGCTTGTTCTTTCTTTGGCAGGTAGTAGTCGAGAAGGTAAAGCAGGACACTCGCATCACTGTCCTGGGCCATGTTCAGAGAGGTGGGAGCCCATCTGCTTTTGACCGTGTTTTGGTGAGTGCCTACAACTGCCACAAATTCTTCTTGTGTATAGTAGATGTAACCTGAAGGCACCAGGAAAATATCTTCCGCTTATCAGAAGTTCCATTTACTGAGAAGTGAACAGGGTTTCAGAATTCAATTATGAAACCAATCATGTTAGAGGCAGTTACATTTAAGCAGCAATTTCGTTAAGGATATTTCCGCTTTCTGGAATCTGCTGTTATTTCGTACTAGGGCATGCCACCAGTGCTTGAATGACATGAATACTAGTTAGATCACATGCTTTGTTCTTCAATTGATTGCTGAACAGTCTTAGTCGGCTGCAAAAAATTAGGCAAGAATGCTTGTTATTTTTTTGTTTTCTGATTAAGGTCTTGCATATACTGTATGAGAATGCGTATGGAGCTTGTCTACATTATGGGCTACACTTCGCTTTGCACATATGTTGAAACTTCATATGTGATAATCTGCTTGACATCAACTCCAAGTGTTCACATGCTATAACATTGGTTATAATGGGTTTAGAACATCCATTCTTGTTGCATTGCTTATAGTTTGCCTTTCAGATTACTGTGACCTGCTGATTTACTTTGTAACTTCCTCATATTGGAAAAAATCATGCTCCCACAAAGGCAAATGAAATGTTTTGTTGTCGATTATTGTTAAACGAAATGTGAAGGGATTAGGGAAATGCTTTCCGGTTAACAGGAGTTATGTTTACTGATAGATGAACGAGGGTGCAAAGTTCAAGTATGAATACAATCATGTGAGAGGCAGTCGATTCATTTAATGGGGGACATGGGTCTTAGAAGGCCAAAATTCGCAAAAAGATCGACTTTTTGAAGCTGACATTTTCGAAATCTGCGCCTATTTTTGCACTTATCTGAGAAGTTTCTAGCTTCTAGTGTCATTATTTTTGGCGAAAAATCAATTTATAACATCCCTGTGAGATGAATGTGAGCGCCAATTGACGCTAAAATCGCGCTTTTTCCGCGCCAAACTGTTGCCGTTACACACGAGCTATCGTGTTCATCTTGGTCTCGTTTGGAAGGGTCGTTCTTCATCTTCAATTTCCCGCCATCGCTGGCTCGCCTTGCTCTTAGGTCTTTTAGCAAAAACGCGTCATAGAGAAGCACTAGCGCGTGATTCAATTGGCTGCTTGGGGCACGTGACCAAATTTAGGCATCCGATTGGCCAAAGGGCGCTTTCGGCATCTGCTTCACCATCGTGACGCGCACGGACATGCGCCATTTTGTCATGGTGCTACTGACTGCTTGCGGCAGTAAAGAAGTTCTGGTGTAGGCCTAATGCCCCTGACACACGGGCACCCTGAAGTCCTTTAGACAAGGGTACATCTTTCGGAAAGGCGTTCGGGCACAGTGACACACGACGAAGGAGTAACACCTTTCCGGCAAAGATCCTTTTCGCAAAAGCAGATCCCGCATCTACATTTCTGGCAGGAAGGGAGTACTCTCGCATACAGTGTGCATAATTTATCAATAGAAGAAAACGTGTCGCAACACTGCGGTGCCCTGTCAGTATTTTTTTGCGCTGAGAAAATGTTTTCATTTTCAGCAGCAGTGCGATTTGTTCAAAAGTGAAGTCCTATAGTCGGTCCATACTCTCAAACGCCTGCATTACGTCACTAGCGCGATCATGTTAGGGTTGGCAGCGGCAGTTGCTGTGTCGGGCTCACTCGAAAACACTGCTTAAAGTGGCCGTCGCCTAATAACGGCAATGTGTCTTCGAACCAGCGTTCGTTGCGCACATAGGCCCAAATTTCGCGGTTGATGGCTCGGGGTGACAGTGCGGAAGCAGTCAAAATGAAGCTGTTCATGACGAGTCTTTGTTTGAGGCTCATCACTCTTGCCCTCGCAGCGTTTAGCTCATCTTCGATGGAGCTGAGGGCGACAAGAGTCAGGCCCACCTTAACTTTTGCTTTATCTCTGTCTCTGTGCTGAGACATCGCAGGACCACGATGAAACGCGGCACGCCGTCACTGTCCCAACTGAACGCAGCCATGTAAAAAGCGCTACAAAAAACAAAAACAGCAAAACACCGACTGTTTATAGTTGCCAGACGAACTTAAGTTGCTGCCAAAAACGCAAAAAAGCGAAAGAAAATTACAGGTATGCGCATTATAAGCCACCAGACAATAAAAAGGTTCGTTCACTGTGAACTTCAGAAAGATCCCCACTATGGCTCAGGACAACGAGGATAACGAACTCGACGCGGGCAACGGCGGTCACCGAGTCACCGGTGTAGGCCTAACTGAAGTACGAGCCCATTCGTTGCCGACAGCGTTACTGAGAACGGCTGTGTTTTGCAGCCTCATCATTTAGAGGACGGCAAGTAAAAAGCAGAAGTGAAGCTACCAGAGATATCAATCTTTGTAGTGACGGAACGGAAGTGCAGTCTTATTGCTAAACCCGCCGATGTTGTGGTTCCCCCCCCGCCTGACGAAAGGACCTTGAACTGCGCAACGGGTTGTCAGAGTGGAGTACGCCGTGCGTCGACCAACAACAGGAAGTCAATCCGTTCGCAGTGAACATGCTCGCGGCCCTCGCAATGGAGGCTACTGGCAACAGGTAGACTACTTTTAACGACGTGTTTGCAAGGTTGTCGCGATCTCCGCTCGAAAATGCAGCAGTCTTACGTGAAAAGGAAACTAACACCTCGGCACTCGTGTAGCCTCGAAATTGATGAGCGACGGAGCAACTTTGGTTCGCGACACTTACGGGTAACTTATTCTGGACAAGCCAGAAAACATTGCGGCGTTATTGACGGATCGTGGATGACGCACACACATCTGTCGCACATCGCCGTCAGTACAGTCACCAAACTGATAAGCGGCCTCGCGGCAGACGAGCACACGGCGACAACTTGCTACAGGACTAGAAGAAACGACACGCTCATACAAACAATCAGTCCTATTACATTCCCGGTGCATATTAACTGACTAAAAGTATGTGTGCCATGATATTTTTCCCTCGGAATGGCGAAATTAAGTTTTAACAGCATTATTCTCGAAGCACAGATTTTGACCACTTTCTTTTGCTTGTTCGGTAAAAGTGGTCCTAGGACAGCTAGAGCTGTAATTGTTTTTGCACAATGTAGCTAAATGTGCACAAAAAACAATGCTGGGAGCCTATTTTTAATGGGCAGCTTCATTTTTTTTATCTTAATATAAAAATTTCTGTATTTGGTTACATGCAATGAACTTTACTGTGCTGTAATTCGAGAAGTACTCGTTCAATTTTCGATCAGCTTGCAGTATTGCACTCCTTAGGCTTTCTAGCATTCATTTATATGTCAATGGCTATGTAATTATAAGTGCATACATTTTTACAGTTAAAAATGTTAGAATTTTCTGTTTTCTTTTTTTTTCTCAAAATGGCAATTTTGTACACCCTGCATGAAAATTACTACAATATATCTGAAATTATTACAGATAGCAGAATATTTTATTTTGCAGCATGAAGCTATATGTTTGGATCACACAACATAGGAAGCAGATTTTGATTTCTCTTGATGCAAGTTTTTCAAACTAGTCTTTTGTGTGACCACACAATGGCAGCATTCAGGGCTGTGAAGTTTAGTGTACTGTAAAGTAAGAAATAATGACCCATTCAAAAACGTGCTTCTTATGTTGCATGTCTTATGCTTTCTACTGTCAATCCCTATGTTATTTATGAATTTTGGACAGGTGGTTATTTTTCTATTATGGTAAGAACAATAGAAATTGTTATCTTGATTATTTAATTAACTAATGAAGATACAGAAAAAATAGCTATGTTTTTAGAATCCGGAGAACAAACTAAGTAAGCATGCCAACTTCTGTCACACTTGGTTAAAAAATGAATGAGAGAGCCCTAAGAACCATGTACCCCCTTAAGCAGAAGTTCTGTTTAGAAGAGTTCAGTTTACTGAGAGTCAACTGTACTTAAGAAGCTACATACTGTACTAGATAAATACTAATTGCATATTAGAAATCAGTGCACAAGTATATAATAGCACTTCACCAATATAATAGTATGTCCCCTTAATTGCTATAAAATAAACGCGTAAAATGAAATAACTTGCCATTCGGTGAACATAACCACACTTTTGCCGGTGTCCTTGCATTACAGTATCATAGCTTTATCTTCAACAGCTCTGAATGTTAGCACTTCTAAAAATACCTGTTCGTTTTTTTTTTTTTACTCCTAGTAGGACTTATCAGAAGTAATCTTTCCTAAATGTTTTGGGGGATTTCTCCTACGTGTATTGTACGGGATAAAACTGTTGCTCAACAGGCTAACGTGCAGTGGTTAGAGCAAATCGGGATTTTCTGAATGCAGGGCTGCCGAATGGGTGCAGAGGCTGTACTGGCCCTGTTCGAAGCGAAGCCCGACTCTGAGGCTTGTGTTGTGTCCCTGGATGGCAATCAAGCCGTGCGCGTGCCGCTCATGCAGTGTGTCGAGAAGGTAGGTGCCAACACCATTGTACGATGGAACCCCATTTGTACATTTTCTTGTGCGTAACGTTTCTGGCTTCTGATTCCAGCAAGAAGTCCACAGGCACTATCGGTGATGAACAGTGCTGACGTCCCAAAAGTGTATCGCGGATCTTGCACCAAGTGTGCGCAACACCGATGCCAAATGCATTGCACTCCCTTCGTCTGCTGGTGCTACATGTAGTCGGGCCTAGCAGCATGACTCCCAGCTTAGAGCGCATAATAAGGGCTACAGCTCATGTAAAAGAAGTCAGAGTTGTTAAAAAGTTACTGCTGAGAAGTGCCAATAACAGTTGCTTGGGTCTATAGAGTTTACCTAAATATGCACTAGAAGGAACTCTGGCACTAGTGTCTATGGGAGCTGCAACGCATAACGCTTCAGCGAGCATGGGAATTGTGGGTATGACATGGATTGGCCTTGTCTTCATACTTCATGGTCTTTCTAGCTTCCTGTGGCTTGAAGTTGCTTTGTCACGAAACAACAATCAGCAAATGTTCAGTAGTTGTGCTTCACCGCCTTAATCATTTAGGCTTACCATTTCAAATCGAGTCGTGAAGTTCAAAAAGGTTCATTCTCTTTTTCGAAACAAAACGTTAACAAAGCAATAAACGAAGCCACAAGTGAGTCATACCAGTGATTCCCATGCTCACTGAACGATCGCAGCGCCATCGCCCCCTCAGTTGATTTTAGAAAACTCTATGCATGGGTCCAGTCATGAAATTGAGCCATTTGAAGTCATTAGGCAGTTGCGGTAAGAAAAAGCTAGAGCCGAGGAAACGTGGAAGTGCTCACACCGAGATGCTCGTGTCTATTCCTGCCTGTGATATTCCTGCCTGATTAACTATGAACTGTCAGTGTGCTAGATGTGCTGGTTCATGCCTAATTATTTTCAAAGTGGCTTTACTATTAGTGTTATTGTGTGGCAGAAGCCAGCAAAGGAAAACGTAGCGTGATGCATTGCTGTGCAGACAAAAGCGGTTGCCAAGTGCATGGCCGACAAGGAGTGGCAGAAGGCAGTGCAGCTACGTGGAAAGTAAGTGTTGGCGACAAGCATCGTTTTTTAACTTGCCGATTTATCCCAAATATGTCGTAACAGTTAGGAATAGGAGCTTGTCCTTGAATTTTGCGAATGCTGGATGAAGCGTTGTGAAAAAAAAAGTTGTGAAGGTTTCGCCGGTTGTCCAACAAACATTCCGTAGGAAGTTGTTTCCGTCAGGTTTATGTCGACCGGTCACTGGAGCAGGCAAATGTTAGCAATGTCGCTTAGGTCACTGTTATTTAGCAATAGAATATGTTATACCGTAATTACTCGAATCTAACGTGCACCTTTTTTCTAGTTAAGCGAGTTCTTAAGTCGCATGCGCGTTAGAATCGAGTACGAACGAAAAAATTGCGGTCAATCTATTGCCATCGGCAAATCCAAAATGGCCGCCCCCTACGTGCGTCCAACGTTACTAGATACTTTTCCAGTTTTCAAACTCCTCCTGGACCGCCGCACAAACTTGACCCCTCTCTGTTTACTGCCGCCAGGGGCGCTCGCGCCATGGTCGGCCCGATCGAGTGCGTCGGCGCGCAGCTGAACAGGCAACTTTCCCCTGCAGTTCAGCGCAGTAGCGGGTGCTGTTCATAGGTTCCGCATGCTTTTTCGGCTAACATTTTCCTTCTATTTGAGGCAAGTTGCCTGCTATTATACAGAAAACCGGAAAACGCAGACTGGGCGGCTTGTATTGCTCGCGAACTTTCGATAATGAAAGCACCGCGTATCGCGAACGTGCGTCAGCACGTTGGTTCGTAACAGCTAGATTATTTTCGCACACTATCACGCCCACTCGCACGCGTGGTTGCTTGTGGCAGTTGGTATAACAAGTTGCTTCTTGAAAGCGCGAACTACCGGCGAGGACAAGAGAAAAACGTCAACTCAAAGCGCTCGTACTCACCTTTGCAGCAGCCCGGCTCCTAGCTCAGCAGCGGACGCCGACGAAATGTATGCACGCCCTGACAAACATTTATTTTACGCACAAGCAGGAGTGCTTCACATATCCAAAGAGCCAAAGTAACGCGCCAGCACACACTTAAAACACAAACGTACACACATTCAAAGAACCTTATTCGGCTGCTGCGTGATTGCTCACAGCAGGCGGGCCTTTTTGTTCGCTATTGCCACTTTTTGGCTGCTTCCGAGGCGGCGGTTCACATCCCGCGAGAAGAAATGCATGCGGGTGATGATAAAAAAGTTCAGCAGTTGGCACGTGAATGCTGAATTGTGCTGGTCACAGCCGAGTCGAGAAAGGTGGTGCTTCTCCAACTCTTCCAACACTTTCCAAAATATGTCCCCGCAGAGATCCAGACAAGCTGAAACTACTTAGCTGACTATTTTAAAAAACGTCAACATCTTCTGTGTTGGATGCTTTAAGCTGCCTTGCTTGAAGCTCCTGTAGTCGGTTAGGTAGCTGTCAGAAGCAAGCACAGGTGTGGCGGAGCTGATGTCCTCTATGCAGAGATGGCATGTTGCATGCTTGGTGAACTTGTGTATGACATAGCCACACAGGTAGTACACAACAATGTCCTCCACCTCACCCTTGAAATAGGCGTGGTCGCTTGGTTCTTGCTCAGATGTGTCAGCAGAAGCAGTTGTAATTTCCATCATTTTGGCTTCCACTATGTCATGCAGGCGGACTTTCTCCTCTTGGTGGGCGTCCTTGGACGACAACAGAATCAACGAGTTCAGTCAACCAGCCTTGCAGCCGCCGTCCCTCTTGCGCCATTGTCGATAGCTCCTCGAACAAGGACTGGGTACTATCGAGTGTGACGCTGCCTGACACAGAGCCGTCTCTCTCCCCATAGTCGAAGGTGTTCGGCGCTGTGTTTTCTTGTTCGGCGTCGTCCTGAACATTCCGACGCTTCGGTTGGAGGGGTGACCTCACGGCAGGAGCTTTGCGTTTCCGCAAAGGCTTCGAAAGATATTTCGGACAGTTGGGAAACAAGCGGGGTACGGCATCATCTTTGAGGCTCCACTTGTCTCGCGGTATGACGACGACGTCACCGCGGATGTTGTGCACGAAGTTTTTCACAAGGTCTGCTTCCTGAAAGTGAAGGTCGCACACAACACAAGAGCTCGTGAGCTCCCTGTCGCTCCTTGGAATCGCGTGTTGCCATTCTTGAAGCCTCGAAGTTTCGTTGGGCGGTTTGAAAAAGTGTCTCTTCTCAGCTGCGCTCTTCGCAGAGTCGTAGCCGCTTTTGCAGCCGGTCACAAAGCAACGGGGCATTGCTTCTCACTACACAGTCACAGCAGTCATCCACATTTTACGTCTATACACGGGAAACAAAAGCAAACGCACACAACAACTCGAGCAGAACGATGCGGTCGCCTTCTGCGCTCGCAGGCCGGTTCCTTCGCAGTTGCACCTCTCACCGAACCGGGCCAATCGTGTCGCGCGCGCCCTCACGCGGCGCTCAATGGAAAAGCGTAACGCGCCGTGGCGGAGTTTGACAACTGGAAAAGTATCTAGTAACGTTGCGTGCGTCGGCATGGCGCGTCGGCCATTTCTGCCTATGTGTTTCCCATGTGCGGCACTTCGTACGTGTGCCGAGGAGTTCATCATGTAGTAGTGCATTAGCATCGACGGCGTGGAAGGGCCGACTCCAAAAACTCTAGTGCACCACGATGCCGCTTTTAAAAGAAAAGTCATCGCGTGTGCAAAAACGGACGGAAATCGGGCCGCATCGCGGTCGTTCGGAGTTCCCGAAACGTGCGTGCGGGACCGGCGGAAACAAAAGCAGAAGATTGTCGACAGCAAAGCGTCACGCAAAGGCTTCAGTGGACCACAGCAGGGTCGGTTTCCGCAAATAAAGAGCTGCTCGGCGAGTATGTGCTTGAGCAGCAAGCGGCACAGCGGCCCGTGACGACAGAACTGCTCCAAGTGCGGGCTATGCAATTAGTCTTAGAAAAAGGTCTAATGCGGAGCCAGTTTAAAGCGAGCAGGTGCTGGCTAACTAACTTTATGAAGAGGTAAGGTCGCATATGCATGTTTCCCTCCGAAGGGGAACATGCATATGCGAAAAGTTTTGCAGTGGAGTACGATGAAAAGCTTCACAGTTTTCAGAGGTTCGTCCTAAACTTGCGGCGCAACAACGGCTACCTGCTTGGGCAAATCGGGAATGCTGGTCAGACGCCTCTTTACTTCGACATGCCTGGCACCACAACCGTCGAGAAGAACGGGGCGAAGCAAGTTCGCGTGCTGACATCGGTCCACGGTAAAACTACAGTGACGGCAATGCTCTGTTACACGTCAGATGGGCACAAGCTTCGCCCGTACCTCATATTTAAATGGAAGACGCTCCTGAAAGGAGTCGTTTTTTCCGAGTGGTGTGATCGTGCGGGCCAGCAAGAAAAATGGGTGCGCGTTGCAATCGATGTCTTACCCCTCTTTTTTTTTTCGCGGTGGAAATCGGGTGCGTGTTACAATCGAGGGCGCGGTAGAATCGAGTAAATACGGTAGTGGTATATAGCAATAATGTTATTATTACAATGTTATATAGCATTAGAAACTGTGTTGCTTCTTTATCATTAATATTTGAATTTATAACTGCTTAGGTATCCGTAAATAAATGTGTGCTCAGAGCAAGCTCATGATGAAAACACACGCGCGCGCACACACACACACACAGTATAATTGCAAAAAATAGAAACAAGTTCTGTCATCACATGTTTTTAATGTGCGTCCGGAGTTTCTTCGCTAAGAAGTACTTGACATATTTATGTTGATTTAAAATATGTGGGAAGTTGTGCTGTAATGATTGTAGGCTATATTTGTTATGAAATCTAGGAACATAACGCATGTCATTATTTCTGGTATTGGCGCCCCGCCGCGGTGGTCTAGTGGCTAAGGTACTCAGCTGTTGACCCGCAAGTCGCGGGTTCGAATCCCGGCTGCGGTGGCTGCATTTCCGATGGAGGCAGAAATGTTTTAGGCCTGTGTGCTCAAATTTGGGTGCACGTTAAAGAACCCCTGGTGGTCGAAATTTCCGAAGCCCTCCACTATGGCATCTCTCATAGTCATATGGTGGTTTTGGGACGTTAAACCCCACATATCAATCATTTCTGGTATTTGCAGAAGTGACTCTAGGTGTCAATGGTGCAGTTGACGCAAGAAATTTATTAAAATGTCTTTTTGAGAAATAAAAAGAATAAAGCAGGCGAAAGGTGTTGGAGATGTTCTGTTTTAATTATTTTATGATTTCCCTGTTCACTTTTGTCCCAGAAGTGTTGTCAGATGCGCACTTGAAATATGAGCCTACTAACGCAAGCCTACTAATGCCTGTTATGCCATGGCCAAAAAAAAAAGTATTCTTTCTTTTTATAAGATTTCACGGCAATTTCATTCTGAGAAACGGCAACACAAGAGCATTCAGATTCCGAGAAAGGGCAATGCATTTCGTGTACTGTGTTATGGTTGCTTAGTTCAAGAAGGCCAGAGGATTAAATTTATCTGTAGTCTTGCACCAACGTTTTATCTGCAGGGTTCGCCTTGCACTTACGCAATTCTGCCACTGATAACAGGGTTACAAGTTTGAGTTTCATGCATGACAGCCATATTTAATTCTTAATTAATCAAGTTTAAATAATAATTAAAGGGGTGGTGACATCAAATTTGAGGCTATTCCAAGCCTGTTGTGGGTTTCCTCTGTATGCAAGGACTCCGTCGGACACAACAAACACGTAGAATATATTTTAATTCACTTCTAAAAGTGAAGCTGAATGCTCACTCTCGCGATCTAGGCAAATCGCTTGCGCAGCAACTCTGGCGTATCAGTAGAGGAGAACAATGGCAGTTGTCGTAACGTCGCACCAGAATTGTAGGGACGCGAGTGACCTCCACCATCTCCGAAACGCATTTTGTGAACAAGGAGAGAAGTCGCATGCCTGCTGTTACGAGTGTGCGGGCGTCCCTTGCAGAGACACTGTGTGCGTCCGTCAAGGACTCTGTGTGCCTTCGAAAAGACACACGACGCGTCGTTCAGAGACACTGCGTGCGTCCAAAAGTGGGGCTGTCTCCTCCTCTATCAGCGTCTCGGCGCCTATAAAAGGCCGGCGCATCGAGCGTTCGGCAGCTTCCTTGTCCACATTCTGTACATACACTGTAAATATAAACGCTTTGTTTCCTTTTTGCTGCCTTTTGCCTTGCCACTGCCACAATGCTACTGCAGCTGGCCATGGCGACTGTCGGGGCGTTTGTGTGTTTATGAGAGCAGACGAAACTCAACATAATGTGCATCACAGCCTTGTGTGCCCACGTGACCAAGCCACTCATGCATTGACGTCACTGCCCGATTCGGCACTGCAAAACCGTAATCGAGAATGGACCACATAAGTAGAGCAGTATTAAGTTATTTAGCGAAAATACACGAGTCTTGGTGTGTGTATCGTGCTTTCTGGAGCTGAAAGAAACGCTTACAGCAAAGAACACGCGTGCCACAAATTCGGTGGCACCACCCCTTTAACAAATACAGATGGTATTATTGCACATCTCATTCTATCACATTATTCTTGTTTCTTCGGTACATGTTCAGTGAAAATTGCTTTGGGATCGTGCCAACCATTCTTTGGACCGAGAAATGCCCCTGTTCACTGTTGTCCCGGAAGTGTTGTCAGATGCGCACTTGAAATATGATCCTACTAACGCAAGCTATGTGTGGTCTCCTCCTAACCACAGCCAGTATTTGGATGTCCCTTAGTAACCTGCACACTTTGTTTACTTCATTATTCTGAAGGTAACAAACCAACGGTGCTGTTTGCCCACCTTTATCATTGATAGCCTCAGTGCTGCCAGGTTTAAAACTGTAGGGGCGTGCTGATAGCAATTGGTGAGATTGAATCACGTAGAAGTCATGTAGCAGCAGGAATTAGTTTAACATAGGAGCGAATTTTTATTAATAGCACATGAATCAAAAAACAGATATTTTTACCAATGTTGCAAGATAACATTTGTACCCTTGTACTACTCACATCATCAATTTTGGGCATCGCATTGTATGTCATGAAGTAAACAACAGTTTACAACTATACAAATATGGCGACAACAATGTAGTGGTTTGTTCACACGCTCGTGGCGCTTCGCTCGGCGGGCACAATTGATGTCCGGCTGCAATAACCTGGCTATCCTTGCAGGAATCATGATCATCTACGTACTAGCTTATCTTTGGTCCTCGCTGTAGTGAAAGGAGGAGAGAATGAGGAGTCTAGCCCTACCGATGCCCTCCCCCTCCTCAGACAGCTGGCCAAAAGACGTTCAGGCGAGAGTATATGTTTTCATCGAGGGTTACCATACTGACGAAAAAACTATTCTCGTTGAAACGTTTGCTCTGGTGTAATTCCGATTTCAACTATTTCTCATCACTTAACCAGCCTTGATTTTCCCCTTGAATGTATGCGACGTTTTTTTTGCAGGAGCTTCGAGCGGAACGTGCAGACGTATCGTATGCTGACAAGCGTGATGCCACCGAAGCTGGACAAGCCATCCTCGGTGGGTTGTCTTTCTTGAGTCCATCGCATTGCTCCTAGCAGCCCTTGCATAAATTTGTCGCTTGATGGCCTGAAAAAAATATCCTTTTGACTTCTATGCATACTGGGATTAGGCCCCGAAAAAGGTGAGTGAAATTTAATGCAGAGTATTGCGATGCATTCGTGCATCGTTGTGACTTTCTGGCTCGTTTCAAACTCCCTTCCCTGCATTAGCTGGTCACCCTCATCCGGCTGCATGCTGTGTGCAGAACTTGCAGAAAGCTTAATATATACGCTGTGATCTCTGAATTTGGGCCAATTATTCACAAAAACATGTCCAGGTGCAGATGTTTGTTCGTTGCCTCTCCTTATCTGGAATGCCTTCAGATGATCCGAGGTTTGACAGTGAGAAAGCAAATGTACAAGAAGGTCTGCATTATGTCAATACTGGTGACTCTTGGCATGTGAACCAACGGTGGCCCATGTCTTTGGTGGCTTGTCGGCCACATTCCAGCAAATTTGTACTTCTAAGATGTCATCCTTACTGCATGTATGCTCAAGTTCGTGCATGTTCTTATCCCCAACATTCCATTCTATCGATCTTGCCCTCTTAATGTATTCAATGTTTTTGCACCACTCAAGTGCTTATACAGGACAGACTGAAAACAAACGTGAAAATTCTGACCCAAAGTTTGATTTCATGTTGCATTGGCTGAATGTTTGTTAGCTCAACTTTCGTATAATGCAAAAACTGTGTTCCCCACCGACATGTTATTCTTTTTTTTTATGTCAACATTTGCCCCTTATTTCATGGTATGCTACTGTTCAATAAAAGCTACAGATAACATCCCTTGTGCTTTCCTGGCCTTCATTGAATTGTTCCCCTTGGCCTACACTAACCATTCGTTTCACCATTAGCTCGTTTCTCAACAACATATTGCGTACAATTAAAACATAATTGTGTTCGGAGTTCACCACTGCAGGAACTGTGTGCTAGAATGGGAGGCAGGTGATAAAGCTGTACATATTGAGAAACTAGTGCATAGTACAAAGTGCCTGTTATCACTGCTTGAAGGGACGCAGATGCATGCCCTACCAAACCAGAAAAAGAATCTGGTCGTTTGTTCACGCCGTGAAAACTTGCAAGTGTACTGTCTTTCTCTGATAGTCGGTTCTTTTTTACACCTTTTCTGTACTATTGTTGGCCCAGCTTGTTCCATTGACATGTATTACATGTGCTGTTTCCATTGTCATGCAGTGAATCGCACATAAGAGCATGTGTATGTGCACGATCGTGAGTGTGTGCTGCCATTTGGCCAATTTAAGGGCCTCCCCATCTTAAAGTAAAAGACATGGGGCCTCCTCAGAAGTTTCTACAACTTACTTATACACCTTAATAGAGTTTACCTGTGCTAAAAGAAAAAGAAAAGCTAGGGCTATCGGGTGCAACTTGTGAAGCCCTGTGTGTAAGTGCGCTAAATTAGTGCACTTTCCAAAGGGGCGCAATGAGCTCAATGTTCTTTTGCAACAAAAAGAATATTATGATTTATTGATTTACATGATTTTCAGTAATTGATCTTTAACGATTAGATTGTATTAAAAACATGTAATGCTTACTAATGGTTCCAGGTTTTAATTACAATTTAATTTCATTTTTGCTTACACTCATTTCGAACAGGCAGATATTGTACCTTTCTATGCTTCATAAAAAGTGACCCGTCAACTCGTTGAACATTGTTGTAATGTCAGCAAAGTCAACACGTTGCGTAATGTACAGCAAAATGAAATTACATGGAGACATACAGATTACGCTGGAGGTTCAGTTCATCTAAAGTTAAACGAAGTGTAGGGGGCCACTCTGAGGCTTTAGGGTATTTTTGTATATGGTTTTTATGTTCTAGACCTTCAAACACCAAATGTGGATGCATGAAAAGGAGCCCTGGCACAAGCTTCACTAGCTAATAGCTGGAGCAGGCCGTACCCTCTACGTGTTGATTCTAAAATTTCCGGACAAATCAAAGAACATACGGGACTAGTGGCGAGGGATTGATTGTAGCTACGATATCAAATGGGTACGTCACTTCCGTAAAGCAGCCTTGCCAACACCACTGGTGTTTTCCTGTTGGAGAGGTGCTTCTTGTATTGACATTTACTGTAATTACTCGAATCTAACGCGCACCTTTTTTCCGTGTAAGCGAGTTCATAAATCGCATGCGCGTTAGAATTGAGTACGAACAAAAAAATTACGGTCAATCTATTGCCATCGCAAATCCGAAATGGCCACCCCCTACGTGCGTCGGCATGGTGCGTCGGCCATTTCTGCCTATGTGTTTCTCATGTGCGGCACTTCGTACGTGTGCTGAGGAGTTCGTCATCTAGTAGTGCATTAGCATCGACGGCGTGGAAGGGCCGACTCCAAAAGCTTGAGTGCACCATGATGCCGCTTTTAAATGAAAAGTCATCGCGTGTGCAGAAACGGACGGAAATCGGGCCGCATCACGGTCGTTCGGAGTTCCTGAAACGTGCGTGCGAGAACGGCGGAAACAAAAGCAGAATATTGTTGACAGCAAAGCTTCACGCAAAGGCTTCAGTGGACCACAGCAGGGTCGCTTTCCGCAAATTAAAGAGCTGCTCGGCGAGTATGTGCTTGAGCAGCGAGCGGCACAGCGGCCCGTGACGACAGAACTGCTCCAAGTGCGGGCTATGCAATTAGTCTTAGAAAAAGGTCTAATGCGGAGCCAGTTTAAAGCGAGCAGGTGCTGGCTAACTAACTTTATGAAGAGGAAAGGCTTTTCCCTTCGAAGGGGAACATGCATATGCGAAAACTTTTGCGGAGGAGTACGATGAAAAGCTTCACAGTTTTCAGAGGTTCGTCCTAAACTTGCGGCGCAACAACGGCTGCCTGCTTGGGCAAATGGGGAGTGCCGATCAGACGCCTCTTTACTTCGACATGCCTGGCACCACAACCGTCGAGAAGAAGGCGAAGCAAGTTCGCGTGCTGACATCGGTCCACGGTAAAACTACAGTGACGGCAATGCTCTGTTACACGTCAGATGGGCACAAGCTTCGCCCGTACCTCATATTTAAATGGAAGACGCTCTCGAAAGGAGTCGTTTTTTCGAGTGGTGTGATCGTGCGGGCCAGCGAGAAAAATGGGTGCGCGTTGCAATCGATGTCTTACGGTTTTTTTTTTTTTTCGCGGTGGAAATCGGGTGCGCGTTACAATCGAGGGCGTGGTAGAATTGAGTAAATACGGTAGTAGTGCCATGCGTAGTAGATTTTTGCAGCGGAAAAGCATTAGTCTTGTGCTCACGCTTACAAACTTGGAGTCTGCCTTCGAAGGAACTACTCTGCTGCTTTTCTGTAATTTGCGCTCGCTCATCAACTTTCTTTTTTTGCACCATTTCTAGGATGGCTTCCGGATGGCAGTGATGCATGTCGGCGCTCCGTGCTGCGGCATGAATGCGGCCGTACGGTCGTTCGTTCGAAACTGCCTGAACCGTGGAGATGTTGTTTTCGGGATCCATGACGGCATTGAAGGCCTCATTGATGGAAATGTGAGTTTTTTTTTTTTCTTTTTCTAAATGTGAGCTCTCGAGGTTCTACTCGTGAAGCATAGTTCTGCTGTGTTCATGCACGAGAAAACACGTGTGTGCAGAGGTTATGTGCAGTTCACCTTTTTTCCTTTTTTTTTTCTAGCCTAGGTGGTTCAGGGGGCCCGAGTTGGCAAAGTAATCAAAAACTGAAGAGATCCAATGGGTGAGGAGGCGCCAGGTGTCAGTTAGTGGGACTGCAGCGGATGAATGTAGGGGGTGCATTTATTATGCGAGAGAAAAAATCCAATTTTCGATTACCGAAGTTGGGGGTGCGTTAATTATACGAGCGTGATCATTACGCGAGTAAGTATATTTTTTACTGCTAGATAGAGCTTGTGCCATATTTTGTGTAATAGTACATTTATCTGCTGTTGCTACTTCACACTTTATGGGTAAGTTTGTAAATGTGTGGCCTCCTGCAGATTCATTCCATTGCTTGGCATGACGTCAGTGGCTGGGTTGGCCAAGGTGGTGCCTTTCTTGGAACAAAGCGGTAGGTACTACAGCTTTTTGTTTCTGTGTTTGCTCGCTCTTGTGTTGCATAATTAAGATTGATTCACCAGCACGAAAAGACGAAACACATAAGAAGGAATACACTGACACAGCTCTGAACTCACAACCGATTCGTTATCTCAAACTCAAGTCCTTTTTGAAGGCACGCATCGAAGCAACAGAAGGACAGCTGTTTGCTTATAAAGACAATCAACCAAAGGTAACATCACGCAGTCAAAAATTCTGACACCACAAAGAACTATAAACGAAAGAAGCGAAAAAGATAGTCGATCCTAACACCAACCAGCAAACACTTCAAAGCTACGTGCTGGTTGCTTTGATAAAAAGCAGCAGCGATGGTGTACATTTTGAAAGAAACGAACTAGAATTTCTGAAACAAGCAGCATTTTTTTAAGCTATAAAACGGGCCAAGCATAACAAAATAAAATCGTGTTAGGTTGCCCCGTTAATAGAGCCCCTACTGAGCGATAGCCTGCTCCGCAATGCTTGAGTGTAAGGTGTGCAAGCATCCCGTAGGCAGCCCGCACCGCACAGAGCCCTCATAGCGGGGTCACTAGGCTTGGAGGACGGTCGTCATGGTAGGATCGTTGAACAAATTTTATAACCTAATACATAATTATGTGATTGCTGTGTTCACATAAAACTTTTCCTCTCTTACCGTATTTACTTTCGTAATGAACACACCCCCAACTTTTATCACCGAAATTGGGACATTTTTTTCCCCCCGCATAATAAACACACCCCCTATATTCATCCGCTGCAGTCCTACAACCGAAAATTGGCACCTCTTTGTCCGTCAGATCTCTTATGTTTTTTATTATGCTGACCCCCCTCGGCCACCTGTGCTCGCTCCTCTTTGCCTGCTGCCAGGTGTCGTATTGTTTTATTGCCGCGCACTATATGTGCGCGGCAGGTACTCAGCAATTTTTAATTATCTATGCACCACAGCGGGGTTCACGAACAGCGGAAGTGTAGAGACATCGCAGCTGACCAGCACACAGCGAGCGAAGGTCACGAAACTGCCCGTGCCATCCGACAGTCGCTTCCTGCAAATACGAAGCTTTAAAGGGGCCCTGCAACACTTTTTGAGCATGGTCAGGAAACGCTGCTGATCGCTAGTAGAGGCTCTCAAGAACGCGCGAGCCAAACGTTATAGTGCAGCACGCGGCCTGGAATTCACAAATTATTAAAGTCGGCTAAACATTGCTTTCTCTTCTCTCTTGACAAACGGTAGAAGACTCGCAAAAATCACTCATAGAAAGCGATCTATCAGTTATGGCTGATTTGAACATGGTGCACTCGGTTGTAACAGAAATCGCTGCGGGAGGCAGTGACTTCAGATTGAAAAAGTTGTGTATTCGAATAAAAAAAAAAGGGCTGAGGTCACGAGGCGCACGTGACGTATTTTCTTTGCCCCTGCCATCCCTCCCTGCTTATCTTCCAGCACTTTTGTCGGGACGAGAGAAGAGAGAATGCAATGGAAGCGCGCGACAAATCTTTGTAATTCTTCCTGTACTGGGCAGATTGTTAAAAATTTTGTGGCATTGAATTCGTGAGGCAATAAGCTCTTCCAGTGAATTAATTCCGTGGTTACCTTGTGTTTCAGAGCCCCTTTAAGGCCCAACCGCATGCACTAAGTTTTCGAGTGACGACGACAGGATTTCTGTCGTTATGGCGTTGCGGAGAGCCATTTGTCGCCATTGTGTCGCAGGTTTTTAGAAAACCAGAAAAATCGCTTATCATCCAAAAAAGATAGTGACTATTTCCAGAACATGTTAGCGCCCGCGATTCTGGCTTCGATTGCGAATTTTTCTGTGTGATTTTTATCTGCGCGAACTTCAAGGAATGAAAGAGATAGGCTGCCTTTTCTACAATAACTTCTCACGTGGAAGCGAGGCGGGGGCTGTAGTTTGTTGTTAATCTTGTTGTTGACTGTGTGTTTTGATGCTTCGGTGGTAGCTTGCTGCAATGTCGGTTACTTGCTTCAATGTTAACGGTGACGTTGCGATTGTCATGCGAGGTTGCCGTGAAGTTGGTAAAGCGCGTTGTAGTGCACGCTCTTGGGCACCCCTCGAAATCGCAGCAGATACTACTGTTGCGGTTTAATGATTGCAAGAAAAGATAGCCACAAAACGTTTTTGTGGCGGCGCGGGCACACCAAGGACTTAGTAGACGCTATCGAAATGTATGAAATCACAGTGTTTGAAAAAATTTCAATGTGGCAGCACGACCGTTTTTTTTTTTGTCCCATGGAAACATTGGTGTTTTTGATATTGCATAATTGTCATTTACTTATGTGTAAAAAATCATTTTTCTTTTCTTTTAGTGTCCTTTAGTGGGCATTAGAATGCTGAACATATGCCTCTTGCATTTTCTCATTTCTGTAGGACACTTCCCGGTAATATGATGGAACAATGCGTGGCGAAGCTACGGGAGTTCAGGATTCAGGCACTGCTCGTCATTGGTGGCTTCGAAGTAAGCCTCTCTTTTCCTGCGTGTTGACTGCATACCGCAAACCTTCATCTGTGCACTTAAAAGCAGAGATGGTTTAGTATGCGGGCCTAATTCTGTAACCATTACCTTGAAGTAATAAGCTGAATCAGTTCTTTTTTTAACGTCTGGGTGAGCAATTAGAGAATGGCATTGTATGTACTGAGTATGAAAGTTCAACCGCCATCTATCGAGCACGAAAACAGAGCTGGGATAAGCTGATGAAAGCACCTATTTCTTAAGTATAGCTTTAGGTGCCCTGGGGGCTGGGGAAGGGGGGGTATGCAGTTCCTGCAATTGATAATATTGAAGCCATCTCTGTCTGGTGGTTATGATGCGAACATCACAGTGGGTGGTTACGAAGACATGTCATACTTTTTTTTTGTTGAACCAGGTCTGTGCAAAGTGTGATATTGAATGAACTAGGTCATAATGTGCAACCTTGGCGAAGAAGCAGTGAGTACACATGTGAATAGTTGACATGTATTGAGGAATCTGACAAGTTATCATTCATTCATCTGATGTAGCAAGTTAAATTGCTGAAAAATGGGCACACAGACTAGTGATAAAAAGAATGAGCAAACTAGCAACTGTTTGCCAGGGTAAAAATATGTTTCTTTTTTTACCTACCTTTCTTCCTAAGTTATAGCATGATAAAAAGAAGTCTGCACTCGAAACATTATGAGGTGACCATATACGGTCAAACCTTGATAATTCAAAGTTCCTTGGGCTATGAAAAATTTTTGAATTAATGAAACATACAAAAAGTGGAATGCAAGGAACTTATTGAAAGTCATCAGAGTCATCGGCCGGCTTGTTTGCACCTCCAAAGGTTGTGATTTTCAGCAATAACTGTTCGAAATTTTGCCCGAAACATGGGGAAACGTCGGGCATCGCTGCTGTCTGCCCAGAAAAAAAAAGAAAAAAATGGCAGCATATCCACGGAGTGAATGATGGATAGTGGGGCGAAGCATCCGTCCGTCCATTCGTTTTTGCTTCCGTCCATCCATGCATGCGTCTGTGTGGCCACCCATGCGTCCATCCGCCCGTCTGTGCGTGCGTCTATTTGTGCGTCCGCACGTTCATCTGTGTGTCCGTCCCGGCTTTCGTCCATGCATCCGCGTCTGCGTCCGTCCATGCGTCCATCCATCCGTGCAGCCATCCATGCGTCCGTCCATGCATCTGTCTGTGCGTACGTTCGTCCACCTATTCAACACTCCTAGTACCACCATCTCGCATCTTTTCATCATATATTTCCCATATAGAAGCACCGCCATCCAGCGGACATTCCAAGGACTAAACGAGAGGTGGCACACGCACACTTTCTTACGGCTTGCGCTTCGTGTCTACTTCCCACCTTTAACCCCCTCGAGTTCGTGGTATATACTAGTTCACTGTATTCATGGCACTGCGGCCCAACGCTCGCTAAACCTTTCTAAAACCTAGGAGGTTACCCCCAGCGAGTATAACGTAGCAACCCTTTCTTGTCTTCTGTGCGTTGTTGAACAATAAAAATTTCGCAGCGTGCGCGTTAACTAAAAAGCCAAATGCTCCTGTCTCTCATTCCCCATTAGCAGCCATTGGCATGTACATTGAGCACTATCTTTTATTGTTCAACAACGCACAGAATAAATCTCTCACCGGCACCACCTTTGAAGTCAAAATGTTATACTTGTTACAGACTACTACAACGGCTACGAGGGACGAACGGGTGCCGCTATAAGGGGCTTCGCCCCTAAAAGCAAACAGTGGTCTTGTGGTCAACTCATTTCCGCGGATTATCGGCATCCGGGATCTGCTCATGGCACTCAGTTTTCGAATTAAACGGGTTGACGCTAAATACTGCTTCAAAAAATTTGCTAAAGCTTATATCAATAAAGTATACTGCATAAATTTTTGAACTAAGCTGATTTTTGAAGTAAGCAAGTTCGAAATAATGAGGTTTTTAATGGTTGACTGTGTTCGCCTCCTTTATTAGTTGGCAAATGGTTGTTCCACATATGCACTGATAGTTATTAGTGGGGGTAAGTAAACACTCCTTATGTTACACTGACAAAAGTAACCAGTAAAGGAAAGGGAACAACGACATCGAGTGATTTGAATCTGTAACGCTAAAGTCGTAGTTTTTATCTCCACCACTAATGTGTTGTATTTTTCTCACCCACTTAATTTTTTTATTTTTCTCATAATTACTCTACTTCAACAAAAAATCACTAACAAAACTTATTGTGCTTTCCTTGGCTTCATATGGTTGCTTTCAACAAATATAGCCTCCCCAATTTATCACCATTCTATTAATTAGTTGCTCTAAGTTCCCTTGATCCATTAAATTAACTCTCTGCTTGTTTCCAGGGCTACCACACAGTGCTGCAGTTCGCTGAAGCCCGAGAGAAGTACCCCGAGTTGCGCATCCCCATGTGTGTGATTCCTGCCACGATCAGCAACAACGTCCCAGGCACTGAGTTCTCCCTGGGCGCTGACACTGCCCTGAACGAGATCACTGAGGTCAGTTATTTCGTGATATTTTGTATTGTAGTCACCTAGTCACCACCCACCTGTATTTTTATTGTAGTGGCTATTACTGTACAGACACCCTAGGCACATTTTACAGCGAAACCTGTTTTGAGATCACAACAAGGGTCACGTACAGTGTAGTTGTCCGCCGCCGCCGGTGCCTGTAAACACTTGCACAAAATAAGAAAAAAACTAAGTAAATAAGAAACACCAAGAACTCCGTGGGATTCGAACACGGATTTTCTGCCAGCCAGTATTCTGCCAAAAGAGCCCCACCGGTGCTTGAAACTTCATGGCAAACTGGCCTTAGGCAGGCTTGATGTCTGGGAAGGAATTGCGTTACTATAATAAAGCATTTTAGAACAGCAAAGAAACTACTTGGTATCTCGCAATGGGAATTGCATAATGAGTGGGTCGTGGAATGCTCCAACCCTTTACAAAAGCGTCAGACATAATTCATCATCGTCAGCCACAGCACAAAAAAAAATTGTATAAATTCCTTGCGAGTGTGTAGCGGGTGCCACACTTCTCCAAAGAATGACGATATGTAGCATAGTGAATGCCTCTGTACTACGCAAAAATTATTATTAATGGTGTAGTGGGTACCCGGTAAGTGCGCTTGTAGCGGTTACCCAAAGAGTTATAAAGAAAGGCTCTGAAAGTATGTTTTTTTCAACTTTTGCTGCAACTCTAGTGCATGTTTTGTGCAGGCCTGAAGGTTTTCTTGTTGGCATTCGCATGAGGTTTTGTACAGAGTCTGAGAGTTATCGGATCGCCCAGTGCGATGTGTCTTCTGTGTGCGAATGGAAGCTTGCTAGGGTGGCCAATGATAGTGGCTCAAACATTTGTTTGTTCCTGTATTCATTGCTTCATCTTTGCAGCAAAACTGTCTTTCTTTTTTCATGTTTTCATTGTGAAGGGGGTTTTTAGAGAATGGGTTCATATTGACACAATGTGACTTTAAATTACGCGCGCTAGCAAATACTTGTGCCTTCTAGATGATTTGCGACGCACTAGCCTGCGGGACCCAGCTGCGCGCGAACCGTGTTGGAAAAAAGAACGTAGAAGAAGAGGCAGAAGTGAATCCTCGAGACAATCTAGCTGTGTATTATTCTGGGCACAAGTTCGCCCTACCTACGTTAGCCTATTAAAAGAGTTCATTGAAGAGTGCGTTACAAATCTGGTGGAAGTGCTGGGTGTGATGCCAAGCCCCTCTCGTGGACGCAGCACAGTCCAGAACCACAGCGATTTTCGACCCCAACGAGCTGACGCTGTTCATCAGCGCTGCAGTCGCCGCCTTACGTGGTGAGGGTCCTGAATTTTTCACCTTTATCGACTTCGCTTGGAACATCAACGGTGTGAACGGGTACGCAACCGACATGCAGCTCAGGTCTCTCCAGTTCAACATGTAGTAAACCAGCCAATGCTACCCAAGCCCTTTCCAAGGCGAAAGCACGAGGATGCAGAGGACTGGCTTGAGCACTTTGAACGCGTCGCACAGGCTAACGGATATGGGGAAGAGCGCAAACTTGGAAGTGTTTACTTCGCACTGGAAGATAAACGGCACGACGTGGTATGAAAACCACGAAGCTACCTTGCCGGTCATGAAATGTCTTCGACGGGAGCTGCTCGCTGCTTTCCCGAACACAGACCGCAAAGAGAGAGCTAAGCTGCGCTCCAGACCAAGAAATCAGCGAAATAACGAAACTGTCGCCATGTACTGGAAGACATTTCTCGCTTATTTCGCCGAGCGGATTCAAATATGAGCGAAGACAGAAAGCTGCGCCATCTAATGCGAGGCGGGAAGCAAGAACTCTTTGCCGGACTAATTCGAAGCCCGCCGCGCACCGTCGACGAGTTTCGCTCCGAGGCGACTACAATGGAAAGGACGCTACAACAGCGAGCAAGGTTATACAACCAGGATGCGATCGTCACTTCCTTGGACACATTGCCACCAGCCTTCGGTAACGGCATGGAAGCACTACGCGAGCTGGTGCGGTCTGTTGTGCGAGAAGAGCTGCAGAAGCAGCATCTTGACCAGAACGCTCCAATGCTTTCGTCTCTGGCCGATGTGATCCGTGAGGAGGTCAGGCAGGTGGTACGCGAACCTTCGAGCAACGCACAGCCAGGGCCGCCACTACAACAGAAGACGAGAGTGACGTATGCTGATGTGCTACTACGAGGACCTCCAGGACGTGCGGACGTCGCGGCGGCTACACCTATGCAGTACCCGATGCCGCCGAGCACCCTGCAGCCAATGCCAGAGAGGAGACTAAGGAAGAGCGATGTCTGGCGCACTCCCGACAGGATACCGCTGTGTTACCACTGTGGGGAGCCTGGTCATCTCTACCGAACGTGCCACTACCGCCAGGCAGGTCTACGTGGTTTTCCTGTTAATGCACCTAGACCACGAAATGGTGAACGTCCCTTCGAAATTGAAGAATACCTGTCAGGTCGTCAAACCTCAAGTGGCTTCCAACGACACCAACCTCATGCAACGACAACGGGGAGGTATAGATCGCCTAGCCCCCGACCTTCAGCAAGCTCCCCAAGGTCTCGTTCCCCAAGCCCGCGTCGGGAAAACTAGAGTCAGCGACCTGTGGAGGCAAGGCCGCTGTCGACGCTAATGCAGAAAAACCTCTATTGCTGACTCTGAACGACGACCGATTCAGAAACCGGTGCTTCGATAGTGACGTTGCTTCCGATTTACGTGTGTTCGTTGACGGCTACGAAGTCGTCGGACTGGTAGATACCGGCGCAGATTATTCAATGATGAGTAGCGGACTTTCTAAAATACTAAAGAAAGTGCTGACTCCTTGGAAGGAACCACAAGTTCGCACAGCAGGAGGGCACCTCATCGACCCTACTAGAATATGCACAGCAAGAATCGGAATACGGGGTTTCACGTACGTCGCCAGTTTTATTGTGCTGCCGGAATGCTCAAGAGACTTGATTATCGGCATGGATTTCTTACGAGCTAATGGTGCGTGTAATTAACTTGCGAGAATCTTCCGTCTCATTCTCGACTAGACACGCGATTGCTACTTTTCAAACGGAAGAAAACGTATATGACCTTTGTATTGCAGATGATGGCATCATGGTGCCCCCAAGATTGAGCATATCTTTCGCAGTAACCAACAAAGCATTCAGTGAATACGAAGGATTTGCTGACAACAACACTGCCTTACTACTCTAAAAAGGGATCTGCATGGCACGAGGCCTTGTTAAGTTACGTGACGGAGCCCCGCCGCGGCGGTCTAGTGGCTAAGGTACTCGGCTGCTGTCCCACAGGTCGCGGGTTCGATTCCCGGCAGCGGCGGCTGCATTTCCGATGGGGGCGGTAATGTTGTAGGCCCGTGTGCTCAGATTTGGGCACACGTTAAAGAACCCCAGGTGGTCGAAATTTCCGGAGCCCTCCACTACGGCGTCTCTCATAATCATATGGTGGTTTTGGGACGTTAAACCCCACAAATCAACAAATCAAGTTACGTGACGGATGTGCAAATGTTCTACTCACAAACTTTGGAAATGAGGTGCAGCACGTTGCAAAAGGTACCGTCATCGCCAGTCTGAATGATTTCGTCCAGGTTACGGAGCTGCGCACATTCGAAACCAATGAGTCTGATTTCGAAGACGTGGAGTCTGTCCTTGCAGTCATCGACATCGAGCCATGCCTACTACCAAGCGAAAAAGAGCAAATAGAGGGTCTTTTAAAGGAATTCGCCAAATGTTTCTCGTTGTCATCTAAGGTTCGACGCACTGCTATCGCCAAACATCGCATCATTGTCGATGAGTCAGTGAGGCCAATACACCAGCATCCCTACCGAGTGTCACCAAGAGAAAGAGAAGCTATTGGTAATCAGGTTAAAGAAATGCTCAAAGACGATGTAGTCCAGCCTTCATCAAGTCCATGGGCATCACCTGTTGTTCTTGTGAAGAAAAAAGACCAAACCTTGCGTTTCTGCGTTGATTATCGGAAGCTGAATGCCGTCACCAAACGCGATGTTTATCCTCTGCCAAGAATTGATGACACTCTGGATAGGCTGCGAAATGCCAGGTATTTTTCCTCATTGGATCTTAAAAGTGGGTATTGGCAGATAGAAGTTGACGAAAGAGATCGCGAAAAGACAGCGTTTGTGACACCGGACGGTTTATACGAGTTCAAGGTACTCCCTTTTGGCCTTTGTTCAGCACCCGCCACATTCCAACGAATGATGGACACAGTGCTTTGTGGTCTTAAATGGCAGTCATGCCTGGTTTATCTCGACGATGTTGTAGTTTTCTCTGCTACCTTTGAGCAACATTTGGAAAGGCTCCGGGCCGTGCTCACTGCGATCAAATCAGCGGACTTGACGATAAAACCGCAGAAATTTCATTTCGGCTTCCGTGAGCTCCTTTTTCTCGGCCATGTCATCAGTGCAGAAGGCGTCCGCCCAGACCTGCAAAACTGAGGCCGTAGCAAGATTTCCGAAGCCAACAGACAAAAAGGCTGTTAGGCGATTTTTAGGTCTCTGCGCCTATTATCGACGGTTCATTAAAAATTTTTCACGAGTTGCTGAACCACTGTCGCAGCTGACAAAAGAGGAAATGCCTTTCGTATGGCTTGCCGAACAAGAGGATGCCTTCAATGAACTACGAAAGGGCCTTCAAAGCCATCCTGTTCTGGCGCATTTTGACGAGGAAGCGGAAACCGATATCCACACGGATGCAAGCAATTTAGGTCTTGGGGCCGTGCTCATCCAATGGCAAAACGGACAAGAACGAATCATTGCGTATGCCAGTCGCACTATTTCGAAAGCTGAGGTGAACTGCTCAGCGACTGAGAAAGAATGCCTTGCCGTGGTATGGGCTATCAGCAAGTTTCGACCATATTTATATGGTAGGCCTTTTCGAGCTATAAGCGACAATCATTCGCTATGCTGGCTGGCTAATCTCAAGGACCCATGTGGACGGCTTGCACGATGGAGCTTGCGATTACAGGAGTATGATATCACGCTTGTGTACAAGTCAGGTCGCAAGCACAGTGATGCGGACTGCTTGTCACGTGCTCCGATTCAACCTGCTGCTTCTGCTTCCACCGAGGATGGTGAAGATTTTATTTTATTTTCTTGGGAGCTGTGACACCATCAGAAATGGAAAATCAGCAGCGATTGGACCCTGAGATACTCCTCTTGATCAAGTACCTACAAGGACAGTCTGTCGATGTTCCACGACCTTTTGTCCGCGGCTTGTCAGCGTTCGTCCTACGAAACAACATCCTGTATAAAAGGAACTTTGACAACAATACAACGACATTCCTGCTTGTCGTCTCTTCACCTCTGCGACCAGAGATTTTGGAGGCTTGCCACGACGATCCATCAGCTGGACACTTAGGAGTAAGCAGAACGTTAGCACGCATCCACACTAAATACTACTGGCCGAAGTTGCTTAGCTCTGTACGACAGTATGTCAGAACCTGCCGGGACTGCCAAAGACGTAAAACGCCACCGCTAAAACCAGCAGGTCTCCTTCAACCGATAGAACCACCAGAAGCCCATTCACACAAGTGGGACATGGACTACTGGGCCCATTTCCTACCGTCGTCATCGAGGGAAAACGGTGGTAATAGGTTGCAACCGACTATTTAACCAGATATGCCTGAGGACAGCGGACTCTTGTTTAAAGGATCAGCCGTTGAAGTAGCCGAATTCTTCGTCTCCAACATCTGTACTGCTGGCACGGAGCTCCAAAAGCGTTGATCACGGACCGAGGGACTTCATTACGGCCGACCTGATAAAATGTGTATGAAATAGACGCACACTAGTCATAGAAAACGACGGCCTACTCATCCTCAAGCAAATGGTCTTACGGAACGACTGAACAGAACGCTGGCTGATATGTTGTCATATGTACGTTGATATAGAACGCCGTACTTGGGATAAAATATTTCCCCTAGACAACATTCGCCTATACACACTGCGATGCAAGAGGCAACACGGATGACGCCATTCCAACTTGTTTTTGGCCTGACGGTAACGACACCTTTAGATTTAGACCTATTGACGAGACGCTCGAGAATTACTATGACGTTCACGACTACATACAAAGAGCAGAAGAGCCAGACAGCTGGCAGGATATTGCATTCCCCAACAGCAGAAAAGCGACGCGAATCGATAAAATCTGCGAAGAAGAGACGTCCAGTACGCACCAGGAGACAGAGTATGGGTCTAATTCCTGTACGAATACGTGACCTGTCAGAAAAACTGCTTCGCCGCTATTTCGGTCCATACATATTGCTCCGCCGCGTCAGGTCGCTCAACTACGAAGTTTATGCCAGAGGGACAGGATATTTATCCCGATGGCGGCATCGCACGGAAACTGTGCATGTCGTCAGGATGAAAACCATATCACGACAGGCAATGAAACGCTGAAGATACAACGTTCTGTGACGTTAACGACATCCCTGACGAGGGTTTGTGAATGACTGCTATGCAACCAGTTCGACGACAGGCATCGGGACGATGCACTCTGGAAAGGGGGGCAATGACAAATTGTGACTTTAAATTACGAGCGCTAGCAAATACTTGTGCCTTCTAGACGGATTTGCGACGCACACCCTGCGGGACCCAGCTGCGCGCGAACCGTGTTGGAAAAACGAAGAAACGTAGAAGAAGAGGCAGAAGTGAATCCTCGAGACAATCTAGCTGTGTTGTTATTCCTCAGGGCAATGTTCACCCTTGCTACGTTAGCCTATTAAAGAGTTGATTGAAGAGTGCTTTACAATAAGTAATAAAGCTAAACATTGATATCCTAGCCAACAGTCTTGAACTTTATCGAAGCATGCAAAACGCAGCTATCACGCGACAGACTTGCTTCAACCTTGTTCAACCACGATAACTATTTATGGTTGCTGTTATCGTTCAAAGGCAGTCAAATACTATGTGGTAATGTTTGGCAGATGTCCCGTAAACCAGCGGGGAACTAGCGGCGGTGTGCCGGTTCAATGTTTGTGTTACAATTATATTATTATATTATTATATATTATTATTCTTATTATTATTATTATTATTATTATTATTATTATTAATATTTTTAGAAATACTCGCAATTTCAATTTCTCAAGTAAAATTAAGCATGCAACCTTAGTACTCCTTAGAGCTGATCGAATATTTTCGCTTCTCATTCTAGGCAGGAATAAACGGCCTCTCTGCGATCAGAATATGCGAAGATGCACACATATTTTCTGAATTGAGGTTTGAACCTACTATCGTAATGCACGAATGTAGCAGCTTAATATTTAGCACCAAGGAAGCCGTCTGTTCATACACGTAGTGTATCATAGGTATACTTTGATCGGAAAAACTTATTTTGTCAATGTTACATCTGGTTCTGCCTTGTTTACAGGTGAATGGGGAAACATCATTTCGAAATACACGAACAGTACCTATACGGCGTCAGACTATATCAACTACAGGCCACATGCAACCAATATCCTAGTAAAACTCTTCCAAAACGTCCTTGTGGGTGAAAAAGGCTTAAGATACCTGGTTGCCTGGAACATCTATAGGCAGCTGGTTAAGTTCACTGAGCCTTACATGTTTCTTCAGGGTAGGAGTGCGAGTGATGCGTGTTATGAGCACGTCAAGAAAGTCATGAATCTGGCTGTCCTCAGTCCCTACCTACAGTCGGGTAAGCTTACTTTATCATACACCTTCAATAGGTTTCTCATAACTGCCGTCATACTCTTACTCAGACAAGATACGTAATTATAAACGCGCGATATGTATCAAAGTCTACTGAATATAGCTAGCTATAAAACAGTGCGCTCATGTGGTTTCTTACTTAACAGAGGTTCAGGTGCACATGATTGAAAAGGCGAAGCGCATGGTGTCCGAAATACGCAGCACCTTCTTGAAAACTCTTCCAATACTCGAGCTGGCTCAGCATCAACTTTCGAGTAGCTGCCATACGCAAGTTGGGGAGTATGAAGTCGTACGTTGGAAGCCCCGGGCGCCGATTGGACCCTGAGTTCGTCGAAGCGATTTACAGTCAGTATTACACAATGTGTACATACCACTCATAGTGCGAATGTAACAGCGCCGGGAATGCTTTTTTGTATTCGTGCTACGAAAGCTGCTCTGTGGTTTTATCATTTTTATTCATGATTTTCTAAGCAATAGAGGCTTGACACCGTTATTTATTGACTGTGAAGAAGCGATAAGTCTAAAAAGCTTGAAAGAAATAACGAAGAACTCTGGCTGCATAAAAGCAGTTTTAAAATTATTTGAAATATTCACTTATTATTTCATGTAGCATCCAGAGTTGCATGTTTGCGTTATGTTCCACTTCTATAACGAAAACGTGTGAGAGTGCGTGGCATAAAATTTCAGATAAAACATTTGCAAGTTAATGTAATTTGCAATCTATTACTTAATTACTCAATTTGAACTACACATAATAGCTTTTGCCGTGCGTTTCCTTACCTAATTCAAACTGACCTTTAATAGATGAATATTGCAGTGTTTAGCTTTCACATTCAGCAAGGTTTTGGGCGCAGCGGTCGAGCTCCATGCTTACGACACCCCCATGTCAGGCAGTGATAATAGCTTAAACATGCGTCACTGGGAATTCGTTTTATGACGCACTGGTCCAAATATTGGTGTTCGCCACCAGCACAAATATAATAAATAACGAGAACTTGCGTCGCGATTAGCACGTCAGAGTGAAGTATTGAAATGATGTTACTTCATCAAGCCTTGACATCATATCTTGCCCGGCCCAATTACAAATGTGCATAAATCACTGCCCCAAGTGGTCTGTGGAAATGCGAGGTATGAGTGAAGTGAAACAAAGCATCGCTGCATGTTCATCGCCCTTCCTAGTCTTCATTTCTGTCGCAATGTGTTCCTTTCAATGTCTGGATAACTGCTGAAAAAGACATGCAATAGAAGAAGAAGAGCTTTCTAAGTAGTTCGCTCGTTACAAAAATACCTCTCTTAGCGTTGACTGAAGTAGCTGTGCGTTTTTATTAATCTTCCGATGCAGAACCTTACCCGGATGCACCCCTAGACTTATTATTCCCGACATGGATCAAGGCTTTGGCACTCTCTACTCACTATATTTGGACCGATCAAACGACACCGCTGTACGATGAGGCTCGTTATAGCCCGTATTATACGCACTACTTTAATGATTTTACAGTAGCGACAGCCAACATGCTCCGTCCATTCATGTATCCGGACGGGCCAATTGCACTGAACTACGGTGGCCTTGGAACGGTACGTAAATATTTCTTCATTACGGATCACGCATGGCGTTCTCATTCTACTCGGTCATTTTATCTGCTCAGTTCTGTAGGTTTACAGTAGTGGAACCTACTTACAATAAATAGATACAAACAGCTAAAGAACACGCGTTACGAAAAGATAATTCACATTGTTTCCTGCATCAAGTAAGCATACTACAGGATCGCATTCCCACATTTATGCGTTTACAGATTCGAACCATATAGTTAACTGAAAATTTAGTGCTGGATTATCACAGCAATATTCCTACACAACTTCACAGACGATTCACTTGCGGAGGATGAACCATGTAGGAGAAAAATTGCAGGGAGACATTGGTAGGAAAACGGGAAAGTGATTTTCACTATAAAATTATAATAACATTCGCTATATGCTTTCCCTGGCATTGTTGCTAGTAGTCATGTGGTTGTCATAGCAGTTTTTTTTTGCAGATGATTGGCCACGAGATTATGCATGCATTCGGTGTGAAAGGCATACAGAGCTCGAAGGATACGAAACCTCAGAATAACGACTATGTGATAAAAGAATACACGAAGAGAGCGCTCGGCTACGGAAATCTCACAAATCTGTTGTGAGTTGGTCTCGCCTTCTTACTTCATTATGATGTATTGATACCTGGGTGTAGACTTGTTTACTTTTTGCTGTGTTGCGGGGGCCAGTCAACGGGGGCTCTTGAGTGTACTATATCTACGCCTGTGCCACCACAAGCGAAGTCTCAGCGTTCAATCACTTCGAAGGGTGGTTCCGTAACATTGGACAATAGTTCAAGTCTTAAACAAAAGTTATGGACCCTTCAAGTCTCGTCGATAACTCTATTAGATAACTTTACTCGGAAATTTCCGTTCGGATATTTTTCCTATTTATTGTTGAACACTATCCAAGCGGCAGTTTGGAGCATCTTGGATGTTATAAAAGAGGACGGACCAATCGTAAGCCAATTAGTAAGGTTGTCTGTAGCATTGGCATAGCACAAGGACCACAGACTTGGGCGCGTCGAATCTAGACAAGAGTACGTGCCACATGTGACCACGTATTTACGCACATACGCTCTGTTGCGTTTCTAGCCTATTCCTTTTTGCTTTTGTTACCTTTCCGCATATTACTGAAAATATTAGTGTATGGGCATTAGAAAGGAATCCCAGCGTTCTCTTCATTCACCGTTGCCCAGTTATATATAATGTCTGTTCAATGGAATTCACTTTTAGGGACCCAAGCTCCTATAGCAGAACCATTCGTCCCTCTGTCATAGGATGGATACACAGTAATTACATTTTGACCTTCAACGTGTGGTGCGGTGAGATGATTTCTTTGTGCGTTGTTGAACAATAAAAGATCGTCCTCAATGTACATGCGTATGCTTGCTAAGGGGGTTGAGAGACAGGAGAATTCGGCTTTTGGTTGACGCGCAGCTGGGAATTTTTTATTGTTCAACAATGCACAGAAGACAAGAAAGGGTTGCTACCTTATACTCGCTGGGCGTAACCTTCGAGGTTTTAGAAAGGTTTAGCGAGCATTGGGCCGCAGTGCCATGAATACAGGGAGCAAGTATGTACTATGAATTCGAGGTGGTTAAAGGTGGGAAGTAGACACGAAGCGCAAGCCGTAAGAAAGTGTGCGTGGGCCTCCTGTTGTTCAGTCCTTGGAATGTCTGCTAGATGGCGGTGCTTTTATATGAGGAATATATGATGAAAAGATGCGAGATGGTGGTACTTGGAGTGTTGAATAGGTGGATGAACGGACACACAGACAGATGCATGGACGGACGCTCGAATGGCTGCATGGACGGATGGACGCATGAAAAAACGCAGGAGCGGATGCATCGACAAAAGTAGGGACGGACGCACAGATGAACGTGCGGACGCACGAACAGACGCACGCACGGACGGGCAGGTGGACGCACGGGCGGCCACACAGACGCACGCATGGATGGACGGAAGCAAGAACGAATGGACGGATGGATGCTTCGCCCCACTATCCATCATTCACTCCGTGGATATTCTGCCATTTCTTAATCTGATAATTGTGACTGTCGAAATGATTTATTAACTACGCGCTTACTTGAGCCGACAAGGTGACATATCTTCAAGGGGCCTAAGTACTGAGTCTCAAAGAACCAAATAACAATTCAGCTTGACTTTTGTAAGACTGATTGTCAGTCCTACAGCGTACAACGTGGTGATTGAAACAATCGCGGACACTGTGAACAAGGAGCTGAACGAAGAATATTCCCCAAGAAGGGCAACCAATAGATACTGAGCGGATTTGTATAAACGGTGAAGTTTTCAAAGCTTACCTCAATAAATCCATTTTTGCCAATAACAAACGAATCCTTCCCCACTCTTCAGGGCACAGTTATCTGCCAAGCTGTTCGAAAGCGGCCGCTACACAGCTCTTCCCTGAAATTGAATGTTTCGGGCCATTGAGGTAGTTCGCGTATTCATGCCATTTTAGGACAGCGAGCCTGCAAACCTTTTTGACGTCGACTAACAATCGCAGGACTTCAGCGCATACCGAAACATTCTGTTTAATGTAAATTAACTAAAGATAAAAATGTGCAGTGCCATAATGCATTCTATTATTCTTTCTAACACACCTTCTAGCGCCATGAGTGAGGCACGTGTGTTTTCGTCTTGCAAGGAAGGCGTACTGCGATACTCCGGAACTGTTTCGCGTTATTACACACATAACGCCCGTATGCGTTTACAATCGTTTATTGATATGTAGGTTTTGATGTCCCAAAACCACGATAATATTATCAGAGGCGCCGTAGTGGCGGGCTCCGGAACTTTCGACCACCTGGTAATCTTCAACGTGCATCCAAATCTGAGCACGCTGGCCTACAACATTTCTGCCTCCAACGGAAATGCAGCCGCTGCAGCCGGGATTTGATCCCGCGCCTTTCAGGTTATCAGCCGAGTACCTTAGCCTCTAGACCACCGCGGCGCGGCCACAATCGTTTATTGTCGCAACATCTAAATCTTAAGTAAGCAAAGCATGGCATATTTTTTATCATTACTAGCAAGTGAAAATTCATTTTTTCGTAATTTTCTTTTATCTTTAGCGGGAGAGGCACTATCCCAGCTTGCCGGCATACAGAAGTAAAAGTAACAGACAAGTGTGCAATAAAAACTGTTTTTCATTTCTTAGCATTTCTTAGCGAACTTTTGTGAAAAAAGCTTGTTGATTTAATCTGTAGCCCTGGTCGCTTCCTGGCTGTTCATGGCCAATCCCCATCTCCTTTTAAAAAATTGTTTAATTTTATTTTTTATTTTGTTTTGCTCTTATGTTTTGGGGCTTGGTTCATTGCAAAACTTAAACTGGTCATTTCTCAATGCTGGATTCCTGTTGTATGCATAGAGGGTTTAACGGGGTAGGCAGGCTTTGCATTGCTCAGGTGCGTATACCAATTTAGAAAAATGTGGAGACCCAAAGGTTATCATAAAACGCATGTGCAGCGGCAGCAGGCACAACCGATCTTATATACGCCTTATTTTAAAACTGCCTGATGTATGCAAATTGAGTGTGTTCAATGGAAACTCCCTGGGCTTTGCTCCTCTCTTTATGCATGAACGTACATACAGTTAAACCTCGTTATAATGAAATTGGAGGGCCGCCGCTATTTGCTCGTTATAACCAATATTTCGTTATAGCCGTAGCGGGCATTTACCGCAAATATTATGCACTGTACTTACCCCAAAAAAAATAGCGGGCGAAATAGCATCCCGCCGCACGGTGGTATGCAACAAAATAACCGCATTCCCAAATAAAAAGGAAAAAGTCATGCACCTGTTTTAATGCACTTCAAAATACACAGCTTGCATTTCAGGCAGACTTAGCTGCAAAGAAGTCTGTAATTAGACGTTGATGCATCTTCCTGATGCGAACGATGACTCGCTCAGCTGCGGCCGCAATGTTCAAGCCATCTTCGCCGCCCTCGTGAGCGCCGAAGTAGCGACGCAGTACGTCCACCGCGTCTAATGCCTCCGACGTCGTCGGCACGTTTGTCTCCTGTTCGTCGACAGAGTCATCGTCACTGGTTTCGTTACGATTACTGACAGCGCGCACAATATCGTCATCCAGGAGCTGCTCCGTTGCCACCACTTCCGAGTCCGCACTCACATAGTCGCAAAACGACTCGCTGTCAGGCACGACACCGGCATCACGAAGTGCCGTTCATGATGCAGCGACTTCGTCTGATGTGGCAAAACCGTCCGGCACAGTGGGCTCGTCTGATGGCTCATCGCTGGCGTCTGGTGCGGCGGCAAATGAGGCGTGTTGAAAGCAGTTTGCCATCGTCGTCGCCGTCACACTCATCCACGCCGCCTGAAGCATTTACGCCGCCAGCTGCCAATTACGAAAATTGGCAGCTTTTCAGAGCCGGTCATGTTTGCACAAAGTAGCACAGTGATCCGCAGCTTCCTTTGTTTGCCGCCATGGCAGGGCTCGCCTTTGAGGGCTAACGTCTTGTGCGGCAACATCTTGAAAAAGAGAGCGGTTTCGTCCGCGTTAAAAATATCCTCCGTGCTGTATTTTTCTAGCAGCCGCACGATGTTTTCTTTCGCCCACTTGGTAGCCTCTGCTTCGTCGACAGATTGCGATTCGCCGCAGACCGCTCTCCTGACAATGTCGTGGTGCTCCTTGAAGCGTTGGAGCCAACCCGAACTTGCTACGAAGTTGTCATAGCCCATGATGCAGGCAAAGTCTCTCGCTTTTCTTTGCAGCAAGGCGCCGCTCACCGGCAGATTCACGGCCCGCGTGTCCAAGAACCATTTAAAAACGGCCCTTTCGACCGCTTCAAAGGCAGGTGCCCTCATCCTCTTAGCGCTTCCTTTCACACCATGTGCAACAGCGTCGATGATGGACTCCTGCTTGCTCAAGATGGTTGACAGTGTGCTCGTCGATACGCCAAAGTCTCTTGCCACGTTGCCTTTCTTATTCTTGTAGTTACTTCAATCTCGTAGTTCGACTCCGCGGTTATTACCTGTCCTAAGTAGACATAGTCTTTTACAACTTTAAGAGCACTATTACCGATCTCGAAGCGCTGTTCTCTTTACGAGATAGTTGTACATTATTTTCGTTTTCTGCAAATTAATTTTAAGACCTACTTTTCTGCTCTCCTTGTCTAACTCCGTAATCGTGAGTTGCAATTCGTCCCCTGAGTTACTCTGCAATGTAATGTCATCGGCGAAGCGCAGGTTACTAAGGTACTCTCCATTAACTCTTATGCCTAACTGTTCCCATTCTAGGCCTCTGAAAACCTCCTGTAAGCTCACGATAAATAGCATTGGGGAGATTGTATCCCCCTGCCTTACACCCTTCTTAATTGGTATTCTGTTGCTTTCTTTATGAAGCGCTAAGGGAGCAGTTGATCTCCTGTAGATTTCTTCCAGGGTGTTTATATATGCTTCGTCGACGACCTGATTCCGCAGTGTCTGCATGACTGCTGATATTTCTACTGAATCGGACGCTTTTTCGTATCTATGAAGGCTATGTATAGTGGTTGGCTATACTCTGAGCATTTCTCTATTACCTTATTGATAGTATGAATGTGGTCAATTGTTGAGTAGCCTGTTCGAAATCCTGCTTGTTCCTTTGGTTGATTGAATTCTAATGTTTTCTTTACTCTGTTAGCAATTACCTTTGTAAATAGCTTGTATACTACAGAGAGTAAGCTGATCGGCCTGTAATTCTTCAAGTCCTTGTCATCTTCTTTCTATGTATTAGGATGATGTTAGCATTCTTCCAAGATTCTGGTACTCTTCCCGACAGGAGACATCTCGTAAACAGGGTCGCTAGTTTTTCTAACACAATATGTTCTCCATCTTTCAGCAGATCTGATGTTACCTGATCCTCACCAGCAGCTTTGCCTCTTTGCATGCTCTCCAAGGCTTTTCTGACTTCTTCTATCATTACTAGTGGGGTGTCATCTGGGTTAGAGCTAGTTCTTATATTAAGGTCATGGTTGTGCTGGCTACTGTACAGATCTCTGTAAAACTCCTCCGCTAATTTTACTATCCTATCCATATTGGAAGTTACTTTGCCTTCCTTGTTCCTTAGTGCATACATCTGGTTTTTTGCCTATCCCAAGCCAACATTATAGTACTTCTAAGAAGCTCACAGACAGGGAATTACTGCCACGTCCCCCGTTTGCCACAGCCGATGCCAAGGCAATAGGGAACACATGGCCCAGCTTTGGAACTTTTGTGAAAAAAGCTTGTTGATTTAATCTATGGCCCTGGTCCCTTCTTGGCTGTTCATGGCCAATCCCCATCTCTTTTTAAAAAATTGTTTATTTTTTATTTTTTTATTTTTGCTTTGCTCTTATGTTTTGGGGCTTGGTCTGTTGCAAAACCTTAACTGGTAGTTTCTCAATGCTGGATTCTTGTTGTATACATAGACGGTTTAACGGGGTAGGCAGCAAAAACGGGTACGTAGGCAGGCATTGCTCAGGTGCGTATACCAATTTAGAAAAATGTGGAGACCCAAAGGTTACCGTAAAACGCATGTGCAGCGGCAGCAGGCACAACCGATCTTATATACACCTTATTTTAAAACTGCCTGATGTATGCAAAACGAGTGTGTTCAATGGAAACTGCCTGGGCTTTGCTCCTCTCTTTATAAATGAACGTACGTATTTCATGATATTTTTGCAAACGATGCTTTCTCCATCTTTATCCTGGCAGAAGTGCATCAGCTAAATGCACTGTTTTACCCTATCAGGAATGAAAAGGCCAATGAAAACTACACCACAGACTTCATCTATCGACTGTACTGCGAGGAAGGAAAAGATGTGTTTACTGCCAGGCAAAACATTCTGGGTCACATGCAGCAGGTGAGTGAAATTGCAGTAGTACATGGATTAGGCATCCAAAACTTCCGTGCATGCATTTCCTTCATTCTAGGATATTATCCCACTCTGTTGAACTGAACGCCAGATGAATTGGTGACTGCGTTCACCTTGTAGCACAGTACAAAATAAGGAATGCTCTACAGGAAGCGAATGTATATTGTCCAGGTTTTTAAAGAGGAGAGTTGAATTCCTAGATCTGAAGACCATCCTTGAGAGCATGAGCACTTCATATCAGCTTATCACGTCTGGTTTTGCTAATACCCGTGCTCTTGTTGGCATCGTTGTGCAAGTGCTAACAACTGGTCATGTACACATTTACAACTGTTCAACATATGTCTCTAAGTGCAACATTTCTACATTTAGCGCAATTTCATGATGTATTTCTCAATAAACAAATTACAATGCGGTCACCTTCGTTATGCATGCTTCGCATAATGTCAATTCCCAAGGTGTGTGGGATTTGCCCAATTTTATTTCTCTACAACCTGCTCTGAAATCGTATTTTCGTGCTCTTAAAGCAACATTTTGCTGCTTCGAAAATTTCTCGAAATGTTAAATCAGCTGTTGCCTCGCTGCTCTAATGTTAACATAAAGGAGATATAAAAAGTACAAATGCAGGTTATAGTATATTAAACTGAAATGCACATTGCAGAGAAATAGTAAACAAGCCTTTGCTTCTGTACACATTTTGGCGGAGGCAAGAGGAAGTTAATTGCTTAGCCCATTCAGGCACAAATTACGAAGGACTGTCTGCAAATGTGTCAAATTTACACAACATAATTTCAAAGCACACGATGTTACATTCCATGAAAGAAACTGAAGTAATATGTTCTGTTGTTCCTTTATGTGAATTTCGGTGATGGTAAGTAGCATGTCATTAAACATATAATTATTCAGCAATTAGCCTTGTTCCTCTTTATGAAGAAGCAGCACACAAGAGGGCAGAGTCACACACACATAAAATGATGCCAACACAGTTGCAAACACAGTACTTCTATTTTTTTGTCATTTTATGTGTACAGTGAAACCTCACTGATGCGATCATGCTTCTTAGGAATATCAGAGTGATACGAGTTTTTCTGTGGTCCAGGCCAAGACCCATTGGCCTGCAATGTAACGGAGTACAGCTGTTGCGAACCGATTGTTACCATGCGACATTTGATACGAGTGTACGCGGAAGACACGACATGTACGTGCGGGCACATGAACCCAAGTGCTGGCACGCATGCCACGCTGCCATTTCCGTCAGAAAAGACTCTTCCTGAGTACGCGCCCACCTGCTAGTGCCACTCTTCGTTTCACTTGACAGACTTCCGAATTATGAGCAACCCCCTTCCCCTCCCACCCCTTATTGTGCGGGTGCAGCTATGAATCTACTGAAAATCATCCTTAACACCACCTCGATTATAAAATATTTACAACAAAGGACGGTGGTTCTGAAGTTTTCTGGCCTTTATCGTGTGCAAAATGCTTTTTCAGCAGTGACAGGACACAACCCACCTGGTTCAATAATTAGACACAACGTACATATACCAATACGAGTATGATTGTCGACGCCTAAAAGCTGTACTCATAATTATTCAGAGCTCTTCACAACGCTGCTGCTGCACTGAGAAACTATAGTTAAAAAGTACGCCAGGTTCTTTTTGTGGCGCACTCATTCTGCACGTTTTTTGGTGATACGAATTTTCGATGATACGAATAATTTTGGTGACCCCACAGGATTCGTATTACCGAGGTTTCACTGTATGTGACTGTGTCCTTTTATGTGCTGCTTCTTCAAGTCTCATGGCACGCTAACTAGCTCATCAGTATATTTTAAGCCATGTTCCATTTTTTAATAAAAATAATGAAATCTTGAAGAGTCCAAATTAGAGTGCAATTTGTTCTGAGTGATATTCACTTCAAGCAAAGAATTATTATGATATTAGTGTAGGTGCTGGCTTGCTGCATGTCATATGGCCCATTGAGCATTGTAGTGCCATCACCAAAGGGATTGTCTGCAGTCGCACACAGCATATTTAGGCCAAGCTGAGACATGTCGACTATGCAGAAGGTTCAATTAATCTTATGTGCAATGTATGTTGCTTCTTTGGCGGCCATTAGTCGAAAAAAAGACTGCAGAAATGAGTTGCATTTAGGCATGTGAATACTGTGCTCGAAGGTTAACTAATCTCCAATGTTAATAACTCGCTCCTTCACACTGTCCCCGTCTCCTTGTTCAGGGTGGCACACCGTCGCCATTTGATCGCAACTTTGGCACCAAGACGGCCACGCGGGCCTTCGAGTGGATGGTGCTGCAGCTGAAGGCTGCCGCGAAGCCGGATGGCACTGTGCACGCCACCACTCCCGAGACGGCCTGCCTGCTCGGCCTCATCCGGCGGCAGTACTTCTTCACGCCCGTGCAGGATCTTAAGTCAAAGACCGACTGGAAGTACGTACCTCCCTCATTTTAATGTCTAGCGTAGGTGCGTGAACTGCACTGGCTTGTTCGATCGAACAAAAGCAATGCATGTGGCTACAGACACAAGACGCATTGTTGACGTTCAAAAATTTACAATTTGCGGGTTCCTAGATAAATCTGCACATTTGCACGAGCTTGGCTCACTTACTGTTTCAGTTGTACTACCTCAATGTAATGAACACATCTGTCAACCCCGGTATATAAAATTCAAGTATGTAGAGTCTATATCGTATAATTAAAAAATCCTCTCGGATCTCGTGCAAGATAATAGTACTGCTCGAAGCATGTATAAGAAAAGTCGATTTCACCACAGGGGAAAAGCAGTGAATGCATTAAGAGCGAATTGAAATGTCCTAGCACCTCAATTCTTTTGCATTCAACCTGGCATAACTCAACAAAATGCTGCCATAAGGAAACATGGCCTACTGCAGTGAGTGATGCTACCGTCATGCTGTTCAACACTTAAACATGAACTTAGTGTTGTGAGAACACATCGGTACAAGGCTTTGAGCCATCCATTAAAATCTATCAAGATGGAGTCGGAACACAACAGGTACATTCATTTACAAAGGTATGAGCAGTCTGTAGTCCCTGTGTAGGTAGGGCTACAATAACACAAGGGAATGAGCAATCTGCTAATTCCTGTTAAGATGGGCGGGCGCAATCGTATCCACCCAATCAAAGTACGTGTTTGCTGTTAGGGCAGCAGAGCGCCCCACAGGCCTTCATGGTGAAACAAAGGTGGCATATTTCTTCTCATCTTGAACTGCAATCATCGGCTGCTAATGCACAATTTCATTCGCACATAGAACATATTTCACCTTTCACATCTGTGAGGAGGTCAAAAAGACATTATCCAATCACCAAAATGATACTGTCAGTTTGACACTCATCTTTTCTCACTCTTCACGGGCTCATTTTTAAAAAAATTGGCCCCGTATCTGCATGTTACACAAAAAATGTTGTCGAACGACGATAGTCTTGCGTCTAGAGAGAGTGAACAAAACGTCTATTAGATGTTCTGCACAAGAAAATCGGTGAATGGTATTCTGGAGGCACTGCGTTAGAGTGCCTCGAGTGTGCAGCGGAGGTGAACGAGCGCATCAAGTCACGTCACACGTGAGACATGAGCGCTATCTGGCAGTTATCTTGGAAAACGAAGCGTGCGGCGTGGGCGCCTGTCTCGGAGGCGATAAGGTGTAGAACGCAAGGCGACCGGTAGGTGCCACCACCGTGTTGTCTTAGCACAGCGTTGGAAACACTCTCCTTTCCGTGCAAGCGTTGCATGGGCAGCACAGCGTGATAAGCACTACTGTCCTTAGAATTACTTATGTATGCCTTTTCTAGTAAAAAGACACACATACAGGATATTGACGTGTTGTTATGGTGCCTCAGATATGCTCAATAATTGCTTTTTAATTGACAATCGCACAAATACGAATGCTAAACCTTGAGCAATATTGGTGGGTGCTGCGGATGGGGTCGGCCGTTTAGGGTATCGGCCGATCACTCCGGTGCCTTTTAGGGTGTCGTTAAAGGTAGACAGACAAATGTACAGACACACAGACAGACCGAAATTTATGCGTCAAAGGTCCCCAAGAAAGACTATCGTCTTTAAAAGAGCACATGCATGGTACCTGTATGTCTGCATTCGGCCCTGAACTGCATGCGTATTTTTAGTATTCTCTATCACCCTTTTTGCACATATTGTCATAATAAACATGCCTTACCTTACAGTGGTGCCTCATAGCTTAATAGGTTATTTAATTAACGCTATCAGTGTATCTGATACAGTTTTGTCCTGATAGGCAGTTTGATAAGTCTCTGTAGGTGTAGTATAACTACGCCACCGAAAGACAGAACCAACTCTTCAGAGAGTGAGTTCGGGCTGTTCAAATATACAGCAAATAAATGTGCATTATTCGAATTAAGTGTAGTTAGCCCGTACTACACTTTAAATAGTCGGTCACATGTGCTGGCAATGGTACTCTAGCAGTGATGGCAGAAAACACAGCATCACTACTGGTAGCTGTCCGTTTTTCACTGGTTTGGGTTATGCTGAAAGTTCTACATTACAATAGTAGCTGGCAGTATGTACACTGTTGTATAATAATGGTTAATCACAGCTGGAGCAGTCATGTATCAATGCCTTGTGATGGCTGTTCATAGTTTTTAGAATCCTTAAAAATAGTTGTATACATTTTTGCCTGATAGAAGTGGCTGCAGGCTGCTCATTAGTTCAGGATAGACTTGTAGCTTCTACCTTGGACGGGGACAGAAACAGAAAGAAAAATTCGGCCGGCACAAGTCGCCCGTCGCGTCACCGACTGAAGCAGCCACCAGAAAGATGGAAGATCAGAGCTCCGCACGTTTCCTCCTGCTGCCTGTCTGCATGTAAATACTTTTCTCACTTTTTTGTCTTCCTTCTGTAGTTCATTTGTTTTTGTTAATTTTAACATTCCTGAATACTCTTGCACTGTATAGTGTTTCTTTTTGTGTGTGTGTGCTTGACTGGTGTGTTCGTTTGTTGCTGGTTTGGTAGGTGGCTGGTGCCTGAACACCCTCAGCAAACAGCACATGCTTGCCGTTCTTTTGCATTTTGCTGTTGAGAAGCCTATGCACTTCATTCCATTTAGCTGCACCACCATTTCTTTCTTAGTGGATAAGTTTCTGAGACTGTTGGCTTGTTAGTAGAGAAACAAAGCACATGCGCTCTTGATACCTAGTTCCAATTCAGTGTTCCTTGAGTCAGTTCTGCATTGTTATTGTTTTGTACTTTTTCACATTTGTATTTGTAGATGTTAGCCTTAATTGCATGCTGTAAAGATGTCTGTTATTTGCTCAATGCCTGTGAATTTGTGCCTGCAAACTGTCACACAGTTGACCCATTTTTCTCCATAATATGTGATATATAGTATTCAAAATATTCAACCAATATCACAATTCACTTTAAATTCGCTTCGCACCTAAAATTCGCTATTTGCACGAGCCTAGTTTTTATGTAATGGTGACCAAGCAGGATTTAAAAAAAAAAAAGCTGGAGTGGAAATTGTTACCCAGGAGTGAAGCCGTACCCTCCAAAAGACTGCAGTGGCGGCCGTCATCTTACTAGGGGCATGCCAAACTGTCCACGTTCGACAAATAAAAACTGGGTGTTTTCCTCGCACACCCAACGAGTTTAATGGTGGTTTTTTTTCGTGTCAGATAGTGCTCAAAGTGCGTCTTAGTGTTACTAGTTTTCCTTAGTAAGCCTCTCATTCTAGGTAAAGTTTATAAGAAATTGTCACCGATACTCGTCTCTGTGTTCTTTCTTTGGGAACAACCATCTTTTAATTTATAATTAACATAGCATTTATACTAACAGATCAAAGCCACCTGACCTCTAAGTGAGCACCACCAGAAAAGAGAATGTTTCTCTTGTGGGCAAAAGCTGGCTTCACATTTGCTGGCAAAGAATTGTGGGATCTTCCTCTTTATCGAATTTTTCCAATCCTCCTTGATAGCCAGTCGCTTCAACTTTTCATACTCTACGAGTTTGGGCTTACTGGCTATTCAGCACATACGCATTTCGTTTCTGACACCACATTGAGGAAGGAGGGGCTGTCTGCAATGAAGCGAGTTGAAGTCTACAGGAATTGCATTCAAATGTTTGCCACCATACATTAGCTAGTTCCCTGTTCAGTCTCTGTTCATTCCATGTGTGCTATCATCTCTATGTAGAATGTAAAACACAAAGAGAACAAACTGAAACCTCTCGCTAGTAATGACTCACTGAATGTGCGGTTTCACACCGACGTGTATCCAGTTTAAAGAAATAATGTGGGCACTTGAAGGGACCCTGCTACTCTCTTTCAAGTAACCATCAAACTGCTAGTAAAGGAGTTTATATTGGCTCACAAATCGACTGCTGCAAAAAGCTTTACAATGTCAGTTACCATTGCAATTTCAAAGACCTTTCCTCATATATTAAGTCAGTTCTCACATGTGGGCTAGGACTCGAGAAGCATATCGCTACCGATATCTTTGCAATGACCAAGATCTAGATGCCAATCCTAAATTATAGTTTTTATTTTGCGGTTTTATTGCTAGACATGGTGACCATATTAGGTGTCTTACAGAAAAAAAGAAATGTGTAACACCAGTCACGTCTGTGTGCCTAAGGGTTATTATAATCATAATAGGCTCATAATAATCATAATAAGCGAAACGTCGGTGGGCCGCGAGCTCTAATTTTACTTACGAAAGAGCACACCTGGAATCACATGTAGCATGGCACACTACGTGCTTCATTTTTCTGCATTGGCTGAGAATATGATGAAAAGACCTGGCAAAAAGTAATAGAAGTGTTCCTCATAAACGAAGGAAACTGTAAAAAGGCTGTGTACTATATAAATCCTCGCAGCTTATGTGTACACTTTATGTTCTTACTCACAAGTTAATTTAACTCCCTAGAATTCGTCGATGGCAGCATGTTAATTTTACTTCACATGTGGAACACATCTGGAATTGTATTCAGCATGGCACACTACAACTCATTTTTCTACGTGGCGTTCTTATCTGCAAACTATCGATGGGATCAAAGTTGCTCTGGTCTATTGTTTCCTTCTGGTGCTCATATATTTTGTTCATTGTTGTCTACAGTAAAACCTTGTTAACTGGGGTTGCGAGAAACCTTTGAGTTGATCGGATTTTCAAATTAACAGAACCTTACAAAAAGTGGGATGCAAAAAACTTGGAACTATATATTCAAGGTAATCTGTGCTCTTCGTTTGCTTTGCCGGCTAGCTTGCGGCTTCAAAAATTGTTTTTCAGCAATACCTGGTCTTCATTTTGCTGCGAACATGGAGAAACTGTGGGTCTGGCTGTTGCCACCGAAAAAAAAAAAAAATGAAAACGCGATCGTGACTGAAATGTGCCCCTGCAGAAAACAAGACATCTTTGCTGCAACACAGTAGTGACACAAGGGCAGCATGTCGCCTGCTTCTCGCTGCGTTAGCACGTCATGATGCGACCATTCGCACATTCTTTCTATTATAATTATGAAATAATGGCCAGTATGACGAAGCTCACGATGTGTTTTGGCTGGAAAAACTATCTTTGAAACTTTCGAACTTAGTTTTCGAAGTAGGTGTTGCTGGCAAGAACTCCGCCAGCAGTGCAAAGACGCAAATTGCTTGAGAAACCGGCATTCGGAGGTTCGCATACATCGCGATTTCCGCTAAGCTGTCCTTTATTAATTTTTTTTACAATTTCAAAAAGAATGGGTAAACCATGACCCGCTGACGTTGCTAGAAGCATCCGATAATCTGCCCGTGTGTCACTACTATGTTGCAGTGAAGATGTCTTATTTTCTGCAGGCACACATTTCAGTCACGATCGCGTTTTCATTTTTTTTTTTTTCGGTGGCAACAGTGAGATTTACTGTTCGTTCATGTTCGCGACAAAATAAATACCAGGCATTGCTGAAAAACATAATCTTTGGAGCCGCAAGCCAACCGGCAAAGCAAATGAAAAGCACCGATTACTTTGAATAGTTCAAGTTTTTTGCATCCCACTATTTGTATGTTCTGTTAATTTGAAAATCCGTTCAATTCGAAGCTTTCTCGCGTGTCGCCACTGTAAAGCATGGCTCATTTTTCGCAAGCGCCCGTGTCGGTTGACCACGAGACCGTTTTTTTCTTCTTTCTTTTTTTTTTGCACTGGAAGTAGTCAGATAGGTGTGCTTCAGCTGCCACTCATTAGTATCAATATGTTGCATTGCCTTGTGGCAATTAATGGCCGTCGTTTCCGCCGATTTGCGGCGAAATCGGGATCGGGAACTGGCACATGGCACCCAAAGCTTTCGAATTAACCAGACTGGTGCCGGCCGCCGCTTCAAATTATTCACTCAAACTATATTGCAAAATACGGGACCGTGGAAATCCTTCGAATTAAGTGGGATTTCGAAATAACAGAGTTTGAATTAACGAGGTTTTACTGTATGTGGTATATATGGCAACTCTTTTGTATGGTATAAAACAAGGCTCACTAATGACGTACCCAGAACTGAGCAGGGAGCCTTATGAAGAACAGCTTTCTTGGAACAGTCAAGCTGCGTTCTTTAAATGTCGTATGTCTGCTGGACACAGACCATAATGGCATTGTGCGACCTTTCAGACACCGCCTCCCGAAGAGCACATGGTGGCCTGACCTAGCGGCCTATGCTGAACATGCTGGCTACTTCTGACCGCTACTTGCGCGAGATGGCTGGAAAGCATCCACTTCTTGTAGAGCAGTCCATATCAGAGGACATTGAAGAAGTGGCCTACAGCATCTAAATTATCTTTCCTCCGCGCTGTCCTGTCAATGCCTCTTTCTCTGTTTGACACCAGTTTTTTTCTATCGACCCCAACGTTTGGAATGCGGCAGGGCGAGAGCTGCCAGTGCCCTAGGTGCTGTTGCTGTCTTGTGCAGCTACATTTAGAGATGCTGGTTGTTGTCTGGACTGTTCTTTGTTCAAGATTTTGTGTCCATCCAAGTAAGCCTGCGCTAGAACTATGTTTGTCGTTCCTTTTTCGTCCTCTTATTTCATGTTGTTTTTTGTGTTGAAGACAGAACTATCTGTTCTGATACCAGAGCAGCGTATTTTCAGTCTCTCGATTTTTGAGATGTCATCTTCATTGCGTGCCAGTTCGGCTGAGCGACTGAGCTGGACATGTTTTACTCTGGACACGTTTTTGCGTTGCCTGCTTTCGCGTATTCTCATCAGTAGACACCTCTTGTTATAGTGACGTTACGCTAATTTAAAAGATGCAGTTGGTATCAAAGAGAGATATAATAGGGGACCTGTGTGGTGCTGAAAGCATCACCCAAAAGTGATCCCTTGAAAAAGCAGCCATATATATATATACCCACTGCTGTTCTCTCTGTCACTAGCCAAATGTACTATAGCTGTATACGCTGCTGTTCAGTGATACCGCATTGATGATGATTGGGATGCCTTTTACATCCTGTGGACACGGAGCAAGATCGTGACTGTGTTCCTGTTACTTGCATTGTTTATTTTCATGTGCGTCCGGCACTTATAGGAACTTGGCACATGAAGTGTTGCTCATTTTACCTGTGCATTGAAAAATCTTTTGAACATTTGTTCCTTTATTCTGTGTCTGCTTTTGTGTCTTTCTTTGAGACATTTCAGACTGGCAGATCAATGAGGAGTTGTGAGTGTTGGTTGTCCTTGAAAGGTGTTGATTAGAAGCAAATGTGGCTGCTGCACCGCATGTCAGGCTTTTAAAGCATCTGTTGTTGCCTTAATTATTGTAGTAATATTTGCCTTCTGCATTAGCTTTTTTCTGATGTATTCATATACAAGATTAACGTTAAGTATTATATCACATTACATCTAAGCCATGTAAGAATTTTTATTGTAAGATTATTTTGTTTTTAAAACTGTATTTAGCATTTTGCCAAAATATTTATGGTAGTTATTAACCAAGGTACTATATAGAAATTATTGCTAACTTTTGAGGAACTTAGCATTGATTCTCTTGATTTTTAACTTCAATGCTCAGTTTATATTTCCATACGCTGTGTTGTTTCCCGTCATATTACAGCTGCATTGGACTGTGCTTATCACAATTTTTAACAAAAAGCTATTAAGATATTCAGTCAGTTTTGGAGGCTAATTATAAAGCAGTGTTTGATATGATCACTACTTCACAAGCTGTGCAAACAAATTGGTTTGACACTTAGAAACAGATTAGCCTTTTTCCTAAAGGTTACTTTCACACTGTCATATCATTATTTAGGATCCTCTGAAATTCATATGCACGTCAATTTGAGATAACATAGTAGTTGTGTATGGCTCTCCCAGATGACATGAGAACAGCAGTGTATTTTTATCTCGCTTGCCACTAGGCTGCAAACCCGACATCTGTTGGCTTTATTAGATTGAGTCTGGCCTATAGTCGTGCAAAAAGGCTTGCTTTGTTTTAGCCTTGTTTTATCCTTCTGTTTTCTATTTATAAGTAATATTTATATATCGGACTGAGGAAGACTGTTAATGCATTAGACAAAGCCGACGCATTTCGTTTATAGAGAACTATATCGTTAGCATATTGCTGTGTAATTTGCACTGCTGAAATTGATGGCATTAAGAAGCATTTGGAAGTGCCATCAATGTTCATCATACTTGAGAATACTTTCCAAAGAAAAAATTAAATCTCTCGTTAACGGGTATTGTGTTCAGCTAGATCATTCTAGGTTAACAAACAGAAAAAAAAAACTTTTTTTATGCATGACCTTGCCTGCCTATTATTGGTAAGCATTTTTGATTTACGAAATGCATCAGGAAATCTGCATAATGCTTTCAATCAAGTCAATACAGCAAGTTCCTCATTATACTTTATATACAATATTTGTTGTGAGCATGCATATGTTTAGTACATGTCACTACTTGCAACATTTTAGACTTTTTGCGTTCAGTGACTTGCTATAGTGTATCAAGGTTCAATTGTGCAAAGAAAAACGCGATTACAGTATGCCAAGAGACACAGCCTACGAGTATTTTTCTTTTAAAGAAAAGGTGGATCATGTCCATTCACTTTTCTTAATTCGGATGTGGGCTGCTAACACAAATGACGCATGAAAAATGGGCTGATATTACTATTTCGGTTTTGTTAGCAGTGATGACCTCTCTTCTCTCTTTAATATTTTTTTGAATTTTTCTAGTCACTGCCACCTCATTTTTTCTTCGTTATTAAATTTTAATTGATGCTTTTAAGTCGTAGAAAGGAGTGTAACTGTGCCCCCGTCTCGCCCTGTGCCACTGTGTGCTGTGATGTTTTCCTTTCTTTTTTTTTACCTACTACGATGAGTTGTGATGGCTTTTCTGTCGTTGCCCTGTACTGTTGTGCGTAGAGCTGCCTTCGAGTGGTGGCCGTAGTCTTTCACGTGTGTGTGAACAAACTTGTGTGCCTGTCATAAGTAATTGTTGTAAGTAAATGCCGCCAACTCTGTATGCACAGAACCTTGTAGATGCCCAGGACGCGTGTTAGGTATTTTCGAGCGGCGATTTTGTTAAAAGAGCAGCTCATTCCTATTCCCTCATTTATAGGTCATTTGGAATATTTTTCAAGTGCTGTATACCCATGACTTGCTCTTACTCAAGTATATGCTGTCAGGGTTTTACTGCTTAATATTAGTCTGTTATAAGTTCCTGACGGCAGTTATTTCTCACATATTTACTGTCGCTAGTGTGTTGTAATGAGAATATGTGATTATGAAACTAGTAACCAGGCAGTGGTGTTTTGACCTGTTGTGGGAGTGAGTTTGATTTATCGCTGGCAGGTTCCTTCAACCTGGCAGCGTATTTATTTATTTTGAGGTCATTTGGCATTTTTGCTAATGGAGTTTTCTTGCATGTCTCGATTGTGTTGCATTTTAATGTTAAGCAGATGATTGTCTGTTTAGTTTTAGATACTTTAATTTTGAACATGTGCATGATGCAATGGCCAGGGCACTCTGCTGTGGATATAAGACATTGGTTTCTACTCCCAGTAGTGGAGTTATTCTAATGATAGTGACATTGCATGCACTATAATTCTTTACCACCCATCCTCAATAATGGTCAATATTATTGCCTCCACGGCGAGTTCCTCTGTTAGCTTAGGTCCACCTTTGGCATTAAACTTTACAAACTATGAACTGCGGGTGAATTTGCATGTGACACAATCACGTTTTCAAGGTAATATAGATGAAAAATGTGTACCTCTGCTGTTATTGTATGCCACTGTGTATTAGTACTTTGAGAATAAAATAAAAGGTCTTGAACACCACTCCTTGCAGTGTGTTAACATTTTTTTTCATCAGTGAGAATCTCTGCACTCATTTCTTGACAAAACTGAGTCCTTCTCTCCTTCCTTCTTTTGTTTAATTGTTTGTTCATTTGTTTATTTAGCAACCTTTCAATGGCGAAATTACAACCACATGTCAGAGAAAATAATAAGCATAAGTTGTTTGCTTTAGCATATCTGGCCCTGTAAAGTATATCTATACAGAAACGAGGTGTCAGTTTAGCAATAATTTAATTATTATGGTAATGTATTAGCTTTCGGTTTGCTTTACTCTTGCAGCTGCACTTAAAACTAGCAAGGGATCGTGAGCATTGTGAAAATTACATGCTGGGCATTACGTTCTTAACATGTATGCTCTGTTAGTGGGCAGGCAGATTTGTGCTCTGCAACATTTCAACATGTTTGCTTGTTTATTATTTTTTTTCGTTGGTTTGTCTCACTACAGTCTTCACTATTTTTTTTTCTTTTTACGAGGGCCCTGGTGAACATTCCCTGGCTTACAGAATTCAAATTATTTCAATTTTTTTTATTATCCCCTCACCCTTGCCCTTTCCATCCCAGGCACAGGATCGGCAAAGAGGAATGGTGGCTTAGCAGTGTTCGTGACCTGCTAAAGATCTTTGCTCACCACAGCGTGGATTACACAACCTGCACTGCTGTTATCAAATGCCTGAAAACTCCCGATGACGGGGATAACGGCGACTGCACATAGTTCCAAGTCATACCCTTGATTGCTCATTTTCAGCAACATTTTAATACTTGAAGGGGCCCTGCAACACTTTTCGAAGTAGCCATACAATGGATTCACTAAAGGAAGCTTATTGCCTCACGAATTGGCCATTGCGAAAATTTTTAGGATTTGTCCAGTACGAGCGGTGCTACAAAAGTTTGCTGCACGCTGCAGTAGCTCTCCTCTTGTCCTGACGAAAGTTCTGAAAGCTAAGCAGGAATGAATGGCACAAGGGAAGGAGGTACGTCACGCCTCCCTTGTCACGCGCATCTCGTGACTTGAGCCCTTTTTTTTTTTCTTCAAACTCGATGCAATTCTGCGTGCACTCGTAGAGACATCGCGGCCTTCCACAGCAGCCCCCGGTAACGCCAGTGTGTGCCATGCTCAAATCAGCTTGTGGCCAAATACTTTGGCTTGTGACGGAGATTTCCGAGTACGGTACATTGCATCACATTGCATCATTTGTCAAGAGAAGAGAAAGTGATTTTTAGCTGACCTTGAGAATTAATTGTAAATTCCAAGCCGCTTGCTGCACAATAATATTTGGCTCACGTGTTCTCGGGAGCCTCGACTAGCAACGGGCAGCATTTTATGACCATGCTCAAAAAGTATTGCAGGGCTCGTTGACATTCTCAATTCAACACTCCTGTACATTGCCTCGCTGAAGCGTTTCACATTTGGTATTGACATCTCATTCTCGCCAATCAACTTGACAACAATGCAAACTGAAATAAATGCTGATAAGGATTGTGATGGCCCAAAAGGGCCTTTTTTCATTGTATTCAGTATTTGGCTGGCTTAGCCAGTCTGTCTGCATGTAAAGTTGAATCACTGAAAGTGAATTGATAGAGTGCATATCTTTTAATGAGTGAACATGAATGGTTGTACTTTTATTATTGCTTTTCTTGAAGGGACACCAGAGAGGGATGAGAGACCAGCTGAGTGGGTTAGAACTTAAATGCTTTTCTTGGGTGCTGGTACTGCATCTGTTCGCAAGAAAAGTTTGTGTACTGGCTAGCTAACCAAGGACCAAATTTTTCTGTGTGAATTATCTGCTCCAACTCTACCACCAGTTTGTTTTTATAGCATCGCAGGTTTCAGTGTACTTACACATGATTGGGCTATTTTGTGCATGAAGCATCGTTGAACTGTACTAGTTTGTGTAATTTGTTTCACTAGAACGTCCTTGAATTCTTGATTATTAAAACTGGATGTAGTATCAAGAAAAATGTGCATAGTGAAGTCATTTGGTGGTTTAGCTTTTACCTGTATGTACCTAGGCTCCGTTACGGTAAAACTGATCTTTTCATTTTTTATATTAGAAGTACGATTTACCAAATCAGTTTAGGTCTGTGCTCCTCCATGGTGTCCCTTTAAGCCACGCAGCTGCCAGCTGCTTTGGTGTTGTATAGCCGTTTTGTTTGGTATCTATTTAATAGAGATGCCCAAATATTCAAAGCTCGAGCTTTGTGTTAAAGTACTTGGGCTTATCATTTCAATATTCATTATTGTTTTCGCTATACTTTTAAGACTGGAAAAGAAAAGTTTTCTGTGATTATTTTAGATTATCCTTATGATAAACGGCAGCGCATACGCTTTGCTAGCTACACTGAATGAAGTTCCGTTTCAATCAGGCTATTGGAATCACCAAAAACATGATGTCCAAACACAACAAGTTGCCTGAAAATGGGTCTTAAGATAAATGCAGCCAATCAAGAAATTTTGTTACCTGCCACTTCTCATTCATTTACAAGTTTTGCAGTTTAAAGTTTACTTGTGTAAAGCACAGACCACACATAAAGGAAACATCTGGACTAGAATTTTGTTATAACAGACTGCCTTAACAATTTGCATATTGTTCACTTCAGCAGCAGTGGCTAGGTTTGGGCAGGCGAGTTGTTTATGCTAGTTAAGAGAGCGAAATAAATTACTCATTACATGAATTGAACCTCAATGTGCTTCATATGACCACAGCTGGTCATTTGGCAAAGGCGTGTATTCAAAAGGTTGTTAGAGGTGCCAGGAACACCAAAAGCATCATTTTGCTTTGCTTAAAATGAATACAACCAAAATCTCATTTTCAGTGCGTGAACTTATGATTTTTTTCATGAAAGAATGGAGCATGACTGATTGTAGAATAATTAAGGGGAGATGTGATTCGGAAAAAAATTTGCCTAGGACAGTGAAATGTTTGCTGTATATTATAGGCTTTTATGCCGATTTGGAATCTGTAGTTAGTTTTGCAGTAAGTTGCACAGTTTTTGTTTTGTGCCACGACAATGTCTAAAGTATAGTTAGTTTTTGATGTAACTTTTTATGCCATGGAACTTTTATATTTCTGTGCCAATAATATTGCTCCACAATAACTGTATAATGCGAATAACCTATCAAGAAAGTGCATCTGAAGCATTTTTATGATCAAAAAAATTTATAGTGTGAGAATTCTATAATCGTCAGCCCAAACTAATTGCATAGTTTTGGTTCGCAATAATTACACACTCAGTATCAAGTTTTAAAAGAGATGCAGTTAAACCCCTTCATAAAAGGCATGCTCCGGGCAGCAATTCTCGTCTTTTATGAGAAAGCGGGGCACCTCGTATACATTTTCTTATCAACCCATATTTTACTGTAGGCGCACTGGTGTCTTATACCAATCTGTCTCTAATATCAGTGGCTCTTATAAAGGAGTTCGACTGTACTTGCACCTTTCCCTCATGTTAAGAAATACGTGGACAAAATTCTATATTGATCGGGCGATTGGAATATCCAAAAACATGATGTCCAAACTCGTGAAGACACCCAAAAATGGGTCTTGAGAAGAGTGCATTTTAAAAATATAAATAAATGCTCATCTATGCGAAAGAAGATACTGTTTTTTAAGATTTCTTCTATCATGAGAGCTCTACAATTATGGTTATTTTGAGCACGTGGCTTTAGTGAACCTCTCATGCCAAATGCAATTTCAAGCAGCCAGGTGACAATTTACATGGGACTCTAGACAATGAGCACTTTTCCAAGTTTTTTGTAGCCACCGTGTGCTCTTTAAAAGCAATTTTAACCTACTTTGAGTTTATTTACATTTTTTAATTTTTTTGTCGTAACAATAAAGAAACCAAACTTGTGAAAGCAAATAAAAACGAAAAACATGTTTTTTGGAAAAAAAAATGTATTTTGACTCACATCTTCCCTTAAACATTCAATTACGGGCTAATTACGAAGAACCTTATGAAACTCGCAAAAAGCTGCATATTCATTTTTTTTCTATAATATAGTATTAAGTACTTTGGATTTACGCTATACAAACTTGATGCACTTTCACACAGTGCATCATAATTTAAGCGTGAAATGATTATTCGAAACAGTCCCTTGACCGGTCAGTTTAGCATTTTGATAATGCAAGTGACATGTAATCAGAATTAAAATTTTTGCGACTCTATAAATGTAACCACTCAGGCAAGATCTAAAATATTTTTTTCCTCAAGGACGATCGAATATACTCTTGACACCTCTCTACACTGATGTCGGTGCTCTTAGACGGAGCTCGTTTTTATGGTGCCTTGGGATTCTGTTTAATGCGATACTAGTGCAACATTCAAAATAAATTAAACTATGCAGGCCTGTAAAAGTAAAATCATCAATGCTTTGTGCCAAAACTGAGGGCATAACGATTTGCTGAACGCTAATGTTTTGTTCCCATTATGAGTGAACGTCATCGCTTGTTGTAGGAAGTTTTTTAGCCACATTCCATGCTCTTTCTTGTGCTTGCAACTTGTTACTATAAAGTTCCACTGTTTAAAAACCCCAGCTTTTCATAAGTGTACATACAACACATTTTGCTCATTGTGAGCTATGGAGGAACATAGATGACATCACACTCAGTGAACTATGATCTAGAAGAAAGGAAATATTCAGTATTATTCATCATTTCTCTAGAAATTCTACTCTCGGAACACCTTTCGTGTGCACATAATCTACTTGTGGCACGTAGCACGAGTTTGTCTCTGTGTGCTATATAGGGGGAGGTGATGCATCACACCTTGATGCATAGGGCAACAAATCAAACTGAGAACAGGTATGTTGCAGATGTGAAGTCTATCAAACCGACTCCACTGAGTCATGTTAATTTGGAAAGTTTTTCAAGGGGCCAATCGTTATCGGGGTATTCTTTATGTGTGTTAATTGATCTGTTATCTATTTCGTGAAAGAGGTTGTATGACCCTCTTTCACTTGACTAAAGTTCATATCAGTACGATGA